CATGCCTGTATTCACTTACAGTCAAGCAAGGTAGGCCTATTTCATAGTAATTTGGTACTTTTGTTATTTTGATGTTCGTAAATGTTGTATATGACCTTTAACTGTCCTTTCTCTTTTAAATAGTGAAACTAAAACAGTGAAATTGTGATGCTTAAATTGTGAACATTTTTCAGAGGGCCTACACACATGACACACAGGCATTATGTACACCACAGGTATACATATTGTAACAATACCTGGTGTAACACAGAAGTCAGGAATTAATACATTTGTAACAACTTCAAGTTGCAATTTGTTACATTGTAATGCTAAAAGAAAAGAAAATATTACAAAACAGTGTACAATGCCTACACCAGCTTCTGCCACTTGGAATATGTTTCCTAAAGGTACAACATTTGCAATCATAAAAAACCTACAGAAATTATTATGAAATACCTTACTTGACTGTAAGTGAGTAACAGTCTCAAGCATCCTGTGAAATCATGGCACCTGGTGTGCTGTCATTTTCAAGAAAAGTGGAATTTTTGTATCAATTTCCAACAATGGTTTGCCAAGGAAGTGCATGTACTCAAGTACATGTAAAAAGTAATCAAATGAATTCATTGTCTGTGTTTAATGTTGTAAGAAAAAAACATTATACGTATTTCCAAGAATTGATAGCTCATTCATTACCGCATCTGAATTCAAACCATATCCAACACATTGTTACCAGATCCAATGGATGCTCTAAACCAGTATGCAGGCTAAGTCTATTTGAATTTTCTCAAACATGCTAATACTGAAATAAGGTTGCACCATGCCAAGGCAAAAAAAATAGCAATATATTTTAACTGAATTTATCAAATAGATAAGTAGAAAATATAAATTGCATAAACGACATTAAAACTACACATTGGGGAACACCCACACTCAAATTTGTATCCTTGTGGAGACATCGTTTTGTTCTCGTGTACAAAATCGCGAGAGGGTCGAAAGCTATTTTCAAAATCTCCTCTTTTAACTAGAAAAAAAATTTTCCAGGGTTGAAATTCTGACCAAATATCCCTTACATATAACACTTTAATTTGAAACAGATAAGTATACCTTACAAATTCCTAGATTTTGAGTAAAATCCTTATCTACTGTATTTCGTGAAATCCTTGTGGAGACCTACATGTATTCACCTTTAGAAATTTTCTTGTGGAGACCTTTACAATCTTCTGTTCCGTATTATACCCGGGTCTCCACACGGCATCAAATTTTGAAACAACTCCACTGGAAAAAGGACTACGCCACAATATCTGTTTCCTTGATCTACATGTACACATAATGTGCCAAAAAATATGCCAAAAAAAGTTTCTGCCTAGCTGAACGATATTGCTCCTGCTATGCTATAAAACATCATTTACTTTCAGCTTGGCCGCTTGTCTGATCATCTCAGGCATGATTCAGCATAGCGACCACACACACACACATCCACACACACTAGGCACTCAAGTACGACGACGTCCGTATGCAAATGATGCTCCAGACGTCCATATATGCAAATGAGCAGAAAAGGAGGCTCGCTCGCTCGTTGGCACGATGGAGACCGTACCTCACTCCAATGTCGCCAGGCCTTATCAAGCACACATGCGGTATTAGACAATTCGATTAGACTTATGACTTGGCGTGGGGGCCCTTTGCCCTTTTCGAGGGTGACACGGTAACAATTTCAATTTTTTTTGGCCTTTCTTTATTCTTAAATAGTATAGAGTTGAAGTAAGAATTTGAAATACAGAAACAATGAAATTAATTGGCACTGTAGGCCTACCTTTTTGATGTGTTCAGGGTCAATAAAGAAAATAAATGGCTGCAAATTTCATGGGTGCTTGCAACATGTTTAACCTTCCTTCATGTTTCCCGGATTCTGTGCCAAGTTGTCCTTTCAGTCAAAAATCAAAATCAATCAAGTGCCTGTTTTCAACAGTTAAGAATTCCCGGCCTACCTAAAGCAGGATTGACTGGCTGTGACTGTTTGTGTAGCTTTATACAGCTTTGCTTTGACTGTGGGTAATTGATAAGCCAGCTGTGCCCGCAACTTGCCTGCTTTGTCTGTTCATGGTCTATTGACGGAGTTTGACTAGTCACAGTGCTTGCTTGACATATGATCTGACTGCTGCTGACTAGCCTGTGTTAAAAATATCAGCAGAGGAAGTTTTGATTGTCTGTGACAGTTTAAATAGCATGAGGCTTTATGTGTGAGCCAATGATTTGTGTTGAAATGGATTTTCAATGTGTTTAAAGTACTTGCTTACATGAACTTCCATTTTGAACAGTTCCAAAAATATTTGGAAAATTTATCCAAAGAAGGCTAATCTTAGAAATATTACAATATTGGGCACTAACTGCATATACTTTAACTGTAATCAAATGCATTTGATTCAGGTGTTTGCGCATAATAATAACTGTGGGTCTATTTTTATAGCAACCATGCGGATGAATTGCAAATGAGTTGCTTTACTGAAATAGATAATTTAAAGTGCATAAAAAAATTGCCTCCCCCAAAATTAACATAAACCCATCAGCTACGATTGTATTTTATTGTTTAAATTCCCTGTCGAATCCATCAAACCATACAGTGTTTTGGGTAGGGTGGTACAGGGAGTAACAAGCAGGGTGGTTTGGGGCAGTACAGGGAGTAACAGGCAGGGTGGTTTGGGGCAGTACAGGGAGTAACAGGCAGGGCAGTTTGGGGCAGTACAGGGAGTAACAGGCAGGGTGGTTTGGGGCAGTACAGGGACTAACAGGCAGGGTGGTTTGGGCCAGTACAGGGAGTAACAGGCAGGACGGTTTCGGGGCAGTACAAGGAGTAACAGGCAGGGTGGTTTGGGGCGGTACCTGAAGTAACAGGCAGGGTGGTTTGGGGCGGTACCTGAAGTAACAGGCAGGGTGGTTTGGGACAGTACAGGGAGTAACAGGCAGGGTGGTTTGGGGCAGTACAGGGAGTAACAGGCAGGGTGGTTTAGGGCTGTAAAGGGAGTAACAGGCAGGGTGGTTTAGGGCAGTACAGGGAGTAACAGGCAGGGTGATTTGGGGCAGTACAGGGAGTAACAGGCAGGGTGGTTCTTGGCCCAAAACTTTGACTTGGATGACTACATTGTACCTACACCCCTCAGGCCAAATTGGGACCAACTTTACTAGACTTGCCTAGGACTTGTTAAAGTTCTAGAGAAATAAAAATAGCTGTGAAACAAAAAGTTCAGTAGGGGCAAAATTGCCAGGTTGTACAATGTCTAGTCCTATAAGTGTATGCAATTTTATGCAGTGAATTGTTGGAAAACAAAACAACTGCATGTTGCATGCAATGTACAGGCACCATCTTGTCAATTGTGGTTGTGTCTATTTTTGTGATGTAAATTTTGAGGGCTATTAACCCAAGCATCTGGCCAACTACTTGTAGTGTTCTATTATTTCTGCTGGTACATGCACATTTTACAGATGTAATGGTCAATTAGATTTATTGGAAACAGAAGTATACACGCTGATATGCATGTCCACACCCAACAATTTATAAAGCTAGTCAAGCAAAAGTACATGGAAAATGGGAAACAAACTCAAATTGAAATAGCGCAGTAACAAAGTACTAGCCACTGCTTGACTGACATGCTGAAATTGAAGTTACCCTGAAAAATAATCTAAGTGATAAAAAGGTCCCTTGAGTGTACATATTGTTATCATGGACTAAAGATTATCCTCTGATCACCTTGTGTTATTACTAAAGTTCAACAAATATCTTTGTTATAGTTCTGTTATCGGCTATCAACATTCGAAGGTCTATAACTATAGTGTACCGCACCACTTCTGTGTGGAGAAGAAAGTGGTCATTTTTATGCATGGTACACACACACAAAAAAATTGTAGGTAGATTTCTTGAAAATGTTCCCTAATGTAACTGGAACAGAGGACCCCCAGTGAGAACAGTTTCTTGATAAATGGGTAAAGCTAGTTGGTTAAATAATACATATGTGATGCGATCAAGCTAAGTGAGTCATTTGTCGGGAACTTTCATTTGGAGATTCAGGCCAAAATAGGGCCACTTCATCACATCACTTTATCACATCTCTTGGTGTTCCGACTTCCATAATTTTTGAACTAAAGATGGTATCAGCATGCGGTTTTCACAGCAGTAATGCTAAGAATGTGCTCTTTTCAAATTTGTAAAAAAAAATTGACTAGGGTCCACAAACAACTCATTTAGCTTGATTGCATCACATATGATGAATTATAAAAGAAAAAATAAAATCTAAAGGTTTTTGATAATATGATAAATAAATAATGTAGAGTTCTATGACAAATGAAATTTATGCTTTAAATTTTTGGTATATTATATGAAACATTGATATATCCCAGAACGTCCTGGAAGGATTACGATAAAAAAAATCAAACTTTATTCAGAAAAGGTATTTTAGTATTCAAATTCAGCAATGACACAGAAAAAAATGTAAACTTTAATTAAAATGAATCCAATGATAGTCACAGTTCTGTGAGGAAAGTTGCATTTTATCACTGACGTGTCCAACTAAATTATGAACATAAATGTATGTCAATAAAAAAATTAGGTCAATAAAAAATATTGATTTCATTCATATTGACAAACCATGAATAAAATGGGCAAGGACGAACAGTCGATTTATTATTGCAAAAAGTTACGACATCTGTGAAATTGATACAACTGCTAGCCCTGTCCTATTTATATTTTTATTGCCCTTTGTTTTTATCTTTTTCTTTTAAAATGTATCAAAAATATCAAAAAAAAATTATCAAATGTTAAGAGATTTTCTATTAATTACTAATAATTGAACTTGGTATTAGACCTACATGTAAACTTGTTCATTTGTTGCTTTTTTAAACAGAAATTGATGTCAATCAATACAAAGCTTGACCTCGACAAAAAAAATCCATTCAAAAAATTCCTCAATTAATAATTAAAACAATGGGTGAAAAAATAAATAAAATACGACTTAAATTAAAATACACACCTTATGAGTTTGGCCTCTTTTTCCTCTTCCTGCTTTTGCCTGTCCAGCACCGCCTGAATTTGCCGCCTTTCTTCCTCCGACAGATGTGATAGGTCCAGTTCAGGCAGGGCCGGGCTAGCGGGCTTGGCAGCCGGCGGGGCCTGGGCCGCACCGCCCGGTTTACCACCGAGCGTTTGCATGCTCTTCTTCTGTGGAGTCGCCATCATTATATTTTTCACCCACCGCACTTACTCCGTCCTCTCACGACCTCGTCAACGGCTTAGAAATATTCCCCAAAATTGGAAAATGTCGGGTTCCTTGCGGAACGAGTCCCTTCCGTTGTGTAGTTTATAACATTCCGTTTCAGTCCATTCTGACGTTAGTTGGGCTGGCCTGCGGTGAAATTTTGGGGAAATACATCGTTTTTTTTTCTCGAGGTTTTGGAGCCCACTAATTTTGGGCCGCATGCATGCACACTGCACTACAGTCAACTACGCACAGCGCATACGCCGTGTATTATGTAGACGCATGCACATGTACATGTACATGTACGTGTACATACACAGTACACGTACGGGGCGCGCATCTTCTTTGCACCTGCGAAATAACATGTGAGCAACTGTAATTTGCATGTTGTTAATTATTTATGACAGGTCTGCATTAGGAGTTGGCGCGCATAATTTCGGCAAACGATTTATAATTACGTAAAATATTCTATTTTTTTTTTAAATCTCAATATCAGGGACTTGTTATTCTAATAAAAATGGGTTCTATTGATGTGCCCCTAAAACATGCAACGAAAAATTCTGAGTAAAATAAAATAACGATATTGGTATTTATGCTACGACAAGAAAGTAGAACTAGAAACAACAAGGTTTTATTAAATGTTATATTCCACGCATACAGTAGCATCTTCTTAATTAAACGAATCTTCTGATTCTTTTAATCAAGACAGAGACAGTTGCTTGTCAATTGAATCCCGAACAGCAGCTGATGGCAACGATGCTAAAAAAAAATCCCCGTTTTTGGAAAAGAAAAAACTAAGTTCGGGTGCGTTTATTTTTTAGGGGGGTAACCGGTAACCCCTCACTATTGTAGAGGGCGCCCTGTTAAAAAGTTATGTAATCACGTTTGCATGCTAATTCATACATTCCATATTGCTCTTATTTCATTCAATCGCCTGGATTTTTCAAACTCCTCAAAAAAAAGTAGGTGATTCTTTTATACAAATGCCCTCTAGTTTTTCGATAATCGTAATAAACATCAATATTATTTGGAGAAGTACAGAAAACTGGTATGCTGCTCAATTAACGGTGGGATCACATAGCGCCCTCTGTTGACAAGCAAACACCCCCATACTTCTGATATCCCCAAGTTTATGAGCAACTGCAAAACACATAAATATTTGTCTTAGGAGTGAAACCAATAATCTACATTTACCGATCAACACAACAGATTTAATAACAAAGTGAATTTTATTAAAACGTTTTTTGTAACATTATTAATTGATTTCCACTTTCCAGAATGTGTTCTCTGTACAAAAACAGATTTAGACAATTAAATTGTGAATTTGATATTGAGGAAATTCAAAGCTGGCTCACAAATGCACAACTCTTTATCACCTAAAGATAGCAGTAACAACAATACATTTGTTAATATATAAGTAAACAACTGGGACTATTGGTCATTTTTTTGGCTCAGATAGGCCCACTTTATAATGAAAGCGACTTTAAAGTTGGTAAAAATGAGCTTTTTGGGTGTGGCACCTTGATAAATAGATTTTCAAATTGGATCGATAATTTTCTAGCATTGCATTAGTTATGAGCTTTTCAATGAGACATCTCACGAAAAAAATGGCCCATGATAAGTACAGTACATGTAATCAGTTAAATAATTTTAACTTTGTAATTAAGAGCGGGACGCTCGTAATTAGTTCTGAAAAGTGTGCACAATTTTTAAACTGGACCGCGCCATTTAAAACCACTTTTTTAAACTTTATAAAGGCCTGCAAAAAATAAAGCAAGTTTATTTATTACGGGACATTATTTACCAACTTTAAATGAAACTGTTCGAGCGACAAAAATCATAGTAAAACTGGAATAATCTAGAAAAAAAATTAACACCAGCGTGACACGAAAACACGACACAAATTAAAACTGACATACAGTGTACAAATATGATGGTGAGAATAATAATTAATTCTTAAAGCATTTTATAGGTGTTATTGAACATTGAACTTGAAACGACATCAGATGCAAACTCGAGTCAACAAGCTGTTGAAATAACCCCCCCAAAACCAGTTGACTTTATTAAAAACACATTGAACTTGAAACGAAGAACAAGACTGTGAATTTATCTAAGGTGTAGTCCACGTGGATCGAAAAGAAAAGGAAACACAGAAAGTAAAAGGCAACAAGATCGTAATATCATGAACATGATGAAGCATTCGACAGAAAAAAATGCGCATGATTGATTTTCCTTGAAATCGGTTGAGACATGCCTTTATTTGAACAGGAATAACCTCAAAACACATTTGGAAATCAATTAATCAAACCAATACTTACCAGGGATAAAGTTAAAATTGCAAGCTATTAAATGATCTAAAAATAACAGCGGTATGTGTTTCTGCAGCGATGCTACAGCCTCGCAAAAAAATGTTGCTGGTATTTTGGGACACGGTATGCACTCTAACTGGGCACTGATATAATTTGCATGGTACACACCGAGTAAGAAAATGAAAAAAAATTTGAGTTAAATCTGATCACTAAAAACAAAAAGTGACTTAAACAGAAAAAAATGCTGTTGATACGAAGTACTTACAATTTGAGTAGACCTTTCACCATTTAATACACATTTATAAATAAATTTTCCATGGGAAAAAAATCAAACTAAAATATAGTAGTTGTCACCAGTTTGCTGTTCCACCACGTTCATAAGAAATATTTAGATTCCTTTTTGGATCAAAAATATTGCAGCGACGTAGCTTTCGATGTCATCGCGACATCTTCATTCAGCGATGACATCTAAAGCTACGTCGCTGCAATATTTTTGATTCCAAAAAGGTTATCTAAATATTTCTTAGTTGGCTTTTGTTTGTGCTTTTACACCAGACTCCAAAATGTGCATACACAGTAGTGAAAATCCTGAATTTTGGCGGACGATTTCTAGTAAAAAATTTTTTTTGCCCAACTGGACTTATAAGGGAAAATACAACATTTGCAAACATCATACCTTGCTGGACTGTTAGTGAATGACAGTGTAAAGCATCCTGTAAAATCAGCGTTGGAAAAAACTGGCTTTTTTTTCAAATACTGGCCCCAATTGACCATCGCACTTGTTTGAAATCGATTAAACACCTATGAACGGGTACAAGCCAGCTAGACTGGTTCCCTGACCTTACAATTCCCCAATGTATGTAAACTGCTCTGTTTCTTCTTATATGGAGTCAGGGAACCAGACTACAGGAAAATGATTGTTTTTCTTGGTTTTTATAGCATTTTCGAACCCAAAACCTCAAAAAAGTCAGTGTAAATATATTTGCTATATATTTCCAACCCCCCAATTCCATCCATTTCTGAAAATTACAGCAAAAGCAAATGATGTATATTCCCTTTCAGAGTTTTTGCTGATCATCATAACTCGTCGTGGAGTTCTTTCGCCCCGTCTAGTCAGTCCTTCCCGCTCGTCTCTGTGGGTTTGATGTAGACGCCTTCCATGGCCTTCCATTGGTTGGACTGGTTGGGGTTGGGGACCGTGCAGATCTCGCGCTGGCCGTGGATGGGCCGGCCGTAGATGTCGCCAGACACCGTCAGGTAACTGCGAAAGCAGACGAAAAAGGAAATCAATTTCAGGGAAACATTCTATGGGTCTATTGATAATTTGTAGTTTGCTGGTAGGCTGTCAATTCCATATTAAATTATGTTTCATTTTTGTTTTGCTTGCATTTCGTCTGTAAAAGATGTCAAAGGAGGAACGGTGGACGTGTTTTGGCACAGTTGTTGGTAGAGGGCTGAGGGTGTGGGGTCTATCAACCCTCATAAATAACTCTTTTTGGCACAATGGTTTTTGTTGACAAATGTTGGGCTTTTGGTGTGTGTTTTTTAATTCCACCTTAAAAGAAAATTATTTGAAAACATTTTTTTTTGGTGTGAAAATCTGCAGTCATGTCTGTAAAATGAACAGCGCTAAATGGTGTTAGATTGTTTATGTCCCATCCATATTCAACAGCGCCCCCTATTATCTGATGGTATCCGACCCCTTAAGTCAATTGTTGCCATGGCCTGTGGGCAATTTGGTGATGTAGATAAAAACCACCCCACACCTTTCCTATTTTACCAGATCACCGGATCATCGGGCCATTGGACGCATAGAGCGGTGTGCTGCAAAATCGGACCGATCTGACCAAACGCCGGGCGACCGAATGACATCAAACATGTTTGAGTATGTCTGCATCTGATTTCACTTGGTTGTGGACCGCACTCCGATTTCACCGGACGTGATATTTATGTTAACCAATCAGGTTCACGAAGGAAGTCACACTATTCAACATTGATGGCTTCCATTTTGTCATCATGTGACTGGTCATCGTGTGACTGATCATCGTGTGAGAGATTATAGAATGAAATCGGCATATGTGCGGGTAACGTTGCGGTCTCTGCAACGGTGAAAAAAAAGCACAGGCGATCCGATGAACTGGTAAAATGAGAAAGGTGTGCGGCAGGTTTTAGCGATATTTGAGTGGTGAATCCAATCAGCCTCATCAAAGAGGGCCTTGTTTATGCACTCAGTCGTGAAAAAAAATAAATTGATTCCCTTTTCTGCTTGTGTTCTCACCTGTTAGTAACAACATGTTTGAATCTGACGGGGTCGTTCCTGTTCCAATAGGTTGATGAGCATGTGACTACCCACTTATCACCTGGAAATACAAAAATATGATTCACATAAGATATTTCAGCAAATCTTTCATTTAAAGAATCATTGACTGCTGTGATGTGGGATGTTCTGTTTCTAACACCAAAGGGGTGCCCCAGGCCAGACACGAGACTGAGCCGTTACAGTTGTCAGTGGCGAGTGCATGGGCAGACCGTGATTTTTTTTCCCGCAAACAAAATTGTATGGATGGTCGTTGAGCGAACTCTACAACACTTTTATTATATGTACGCAGGTATATAAGGCCATGAATTACGATTTACTGTCAAGCTCTCCAATGGCTCAGCTGGATAATGCCACGGTTTTTAGATCAGAGGGTGTGAGTCCAAAACCACATTTTTCCAAGTTTTTTCTGTTCCAATTTGCGGCTTTGGAGGATTTTTTTTATAAAATAAAAGTCTGAATTTCATTAGGTTCGAAATTCATTTCTTTGTTTTTTTCTTTATATATATTTTTTTCTCATGTTGTTAGGAAAGTAAAGTCCAAAACCTTATAGCGTACAACCCATTCAGTTATGTCGTTTGGGGGAAAAAAATGTGCTTGAGGGTCATATTCTGCACAGCCACATCTACAGTTTCATAGAATTCAACTTGCCATCATCTCCGACACCGTCTTCCCCGAATCCGCTGACCTCCTGGTTGTGTGAGAGCGGCGAGGAGAAGTGATGACTGTGAAGGTTCTTTCTGGTCTCAACGTGAAGCAGGCGGATGGTGCTGCCACATTGAATTGCCGTCCTGTTTTGGTAACGTAAAACATACGTGATTTAAAAAGGTGCATTTATTGTTAACTGTTTTGGGGACTTTTAAACACTGCCTTCGTTTCAGCGTCTGCTTCAGATTTTTAGGTCCCCTGGCTTAGGGGACTCTTTACTCGAGGGCAAGTCGCTAGACGTTCGTGTTTTGTCCGTCAGCACCGCCAATATCTAAGACCAAGGCTGTGTGTATCATGTTTATTATCATATTGTAACAATAATTGTCTGTACCAATACACGGATGTTGCGGGCTGTTCAGAACGTTTCTTGGCAACAACATCTCCCTAACTCTGTTCTGTATGGTGCCCTTCCCCCTATCTCCACCACCATCAGACAGCGTCGCCTTCGGCTAGCCGGTCACGTCACCGACATAATGAGCCAGCTAGTCAAGTTCTCCTCTGGAATCCTGAAGCCCCTCGACGAAAAGGTCGTCCCAACATGACCCTGAAAACATCCATCGAGCTAGAAACTGGTCTGAGCGGTCCATCTCTTTCCAACACTATGCTCGACAGGGACAGTTGGGCCCAACTCATCAAGTCATCATGAAAATGAATGAATGAGGAAGAAGACCAATACAAGAACAGCAGAGAATGTCTGGCGTTTCGTTATTCTTTTAAAATCTCACTGTACTGCTTCACTCAGAGGGCCCCTGCTTGTGATAATGGGCTCCGTGCGCAAACGAGAGAGGGTGCTTTTTTGACACTTTCGAGAGCCCCATGGACAGGACACCGTGCGCACATAACAAGTTTTGCATATGCATGGCGTGAAGTACTCACGACTTATGGAAAGATTTCCATATACGAAGTTCACTCAATGAGAGTGGACTGAAAAATTCTAAGTGTTTTCTAAGAAAATGCTTGTATTTTCTCACTGCTCAAATTGACTTTGATGACATGAAATTGCTATCTGGGGGCTTGTTAGTCAATACAGAGGAAAATTAGTGAACTTCGTATATATGGAAATCTTTCCCGACTTATCTTATTGTGAACGTGCACAAATACCCATGGCGTCTACGCGTGAGCTTCAGGCCTCTTCGGCAAAGCGTTCGAATGTCACTCCAAGTGGTCTCCCCCAACTCTCCCTTCCTGATCATTGAGGGGGTACTTGTGCACGCAGCCCATACAGTGGACTAGTGCCTTTATTGGAAGGCTCTCTTTCGTGGATTACCCTTTTGTTTAAGGCATGCTGTGTTTAATACCATGCATCCATCATTTCAAATTAAATGTAAAAATTAAACTGTAAAAATTATGAAATGTATTTTGAGTAAACTCCAAGTTATGTACTCACCCTCTGGTGCAGGGCTTTCCCTGTTGACCTTTGACCTGCCAATAACTATTTTTGTCTGCAGCTGGTTCGACTCCCGTCACCGACTGAAAACCAGATCGAAAGAAAATAAAGTAAAACACCAAAATATCAGACATCTAGATTGGAACATTTACACTAAAAACCAAAATAGATTGGAACATTTACACTAAAAAAACAACAAAAAAACCCCAACAAACAAACCAAGGGTGGGGGACCAAAACCTGGATACATCAGAAAACTGACTTTTCCAATTTCCATACCTGTTGTCCACTGCCTGAGCCATATCGTATATCGTGTGAGTGTAGCCTGACATTGTGTCTTGTGTTTAGGAGTTTGATGATGGACCCACAGCTCACGTAGTCGTACTCAAAATCGTCTGGGTGGAAAGACCAAATGAGAACAAAACTGTTAGATTATGTGCAAGTTTCACCATTTCATCTTCAGGCGAAATAAAAAAACAAAACATGTTAAGCGTCCCCGCCCGCTTCCTTTTTGGAGGCCGCCTCTTTTTTTTCTCTTCTTTTTAACCGAAAAAAATGATAAATTTTCAACAGTGACATCATTTTGGCCCCTTCATCTGTTGCATCTTGCCCATCTAAAGCTGTTATGTCATTTCCTGAGTCCAAGTGGCAGCCACGCCAACATTGTCGTTGTGACTTTGCATTCACGTGACGGGAATCAGACCATTTCACAATTTCAAACTTTATTTCCTTTTAAAAAGAAAATCCTCCAGAGCCACGAATTAGTAAAAGAAAATGTAATACTCTGAAGTCAAATGCTGGAGTCAATTTAAAAAACATTATGGCCTAAAGAACAATGCTTTTTGTTAGTCTTAGTCTTAATTTTTTGGGACGAAAAATAAACAAATCAACTTTGTTAACTAAACATGCCTTAGGCTTAACGAACAATTAGTTTAATTAGAATCACTAAATGCAACTGCAATATACAGTGAAACAAATGAGGTCTAGACAATTTATATTTTTCCAGTAAAGTTAAAATTTCATTGATGACACCCCCCCCCCCAACTCGGCCCCACCCCCAATCCGGTCGAAAAAAAGTTACTGTCCCTTTTCGAAAAAGATCGATTCTTCCTCAGTTTTTGAAAACACAGAACAATGAAACATCATAATATGTTAATAAATCTATAGCACATTTATACATACCAGAAAAAGCGGCGACCAATTTATTTTCAGCAGAAAGGAAAAGGACGAAAAGGGCGAAAAACGCGCAGTAAATTCTGTTGAGTTCCTCCATTTTTGCGGTATACAGCGTGTAAAACGGCAATTTGCTGGTACCTGTCACCGACGCTCTAAATGCAACCAAATAATGGATGGCTACTGCGTACCAACGAACCGGCATTTTTTCCTTTTTACAACTAATAGATCATGTAGAAGAGAAACTTGTGATGAAAAATCAAAAATTTTATCATTTAAAACTTATTACATCATTTCAAGGTCATAAAAACATGCGTTTGGCAATTTGAGAACATTACAACCAATTTATAACAGTAAATCACGTAAAATGGCAAAAACAGCACTCTGACACCAACTACTTGTTATTAGAAATTTGTTGGGACACGTCAGGTTGAACAAATCACTTCCGGGTTACAACTTGCAGGCTGGGTCATCTGAGGCTGAGGTCAAATTATGTTGTAAACAACGAATGAGTTTTGCCGCTGAGTGCTGTGTGTGCAAGAAGGTAAGTTGGTATCGGAAGAATGTACTTTTAAAGGAAATTTATCGGGAGGTTGCTGCCTGTAAAGGTATTAAAAAAACTATTATTAAACAGACAATAAAATCAAACAGAATAAAGAGGGATAAAAATGAGGAATTTTGTTCTGCAAGTGCACACATACGAACTTGGCCTATGCATCGTGCGGGAATTTGCACGCCTGCGCACTTGCAGTCATTTTTAGAAAAATATGTCGGTGACTTGCCTACGTCACAGACAACCCGAACGTTTGCGGGTCAATCCAGGTCAATTCCCGCGCGGACCATCTATTTTTGAACCGATCGATATTGCGGTCGGCCGATATGTAATCTGATACGTTCCCACGCCACGGCCAGGCACTATGCATACATGCTGCATACAAATACGTATACGTGTATGTACATGTATTGGATGATCCAGGGGATCGGCGAGCTTCAAGTCAATTTTTTCAAATCGGAGTTCGACTCGAAGCTTGCTTCATTTTATTTTTGACCAAAATGCAATTTGGCATTACATGTATATTCAAAGTTACATAATAATACAGCAAATATGAAAGACCGTTTAGATCTCTACATCATTTGTTGTGAATTAGCCACTGGAAAACACAGTACGAAATAACTTTATTTAAGTTTAATAACTTTTCAAAATCTGCACCTGTAGTTTTTAGTATTTTACGACGATGGAAAAAAAAAACATTTTTAAAGTTCTTTATCCTTTTTTCCCCGGCATATTTTTAAAGTTATATTTCATTGTCATAGTGCTAGCCCAGGGCGGATAGGCATCGTGTCTTTTTGCTATCAGTCTTTATGTTATCATTTTAAAAATTATTGTGTTTTACAGGCATATTTTATTCATAGGTTAATTTAAATGTAAGTTTTACTATTGTCAGTTCTTGCATGCTGTTTTTACTGTTTTTACTCTTTGATTTACACCAGGACAAGAATGTGTTTGCTTTTAACTTAGATGACTAATACAAGTACGAATATGAATGTTCACCACTTGTCAATAATGTCGAGAAGTTATAACAACAAAGGCATGAAAATAAAAGGAAATACACTTGATGCCAACTTCACGAAAGGGGTAGATCATGGGGGCAATTCCGAAGAGTCGTCAAAGAACAGGCGCAAAACAAACAATCCAGATTATAATCTCCCCCAGGCTAATACATAGTCAAAAACCCGTTCTTTAAAAATCGAATCAGAGTAAGTAAGCAGTAAGCAGTAAGCATGACAAGTCTTTTAAAAATAGTTTTGAAATTTTTGAATCAAATTGCAAAAGGTTTTCAGCGTTTTTACGGAGGGACTAAATTATCAATCCAAAAATCATACCTTTTTTCAAAATTCTTGTTCCGGCTGAAATTGCACGCAACGAACATTTTTTGGAAAGAAGTCTGGGTCAAAATCAGATAAAATCAACGAAATCATAACAATCAATGTTGAGAAAACTTCACCTGAATGTCTTTTGATTTTTTACGAAGAGACAAATTCGTGCAAAGGGTGGGGAATGGGTATCGGCAATTTGCCAAAACAACAAGTGTGTGGGATTTAGTTTTCACGACCAGACAAACATCTATGGGGATTAGTTACGATACCGGTACCTCGCAATTGTTGTTCCATTATTCTGTAATTGGTACATCTTTGAAGTTTCATCTGTGTTTCAAAAGTTAGTCAGTAGTATGCGAAATGTTTATTCCAAATCGTGACCAACTTAAAACCTCTTTTCTGACAACCACTGCAAGTTCAACGGGTGCATTATGTTATACCTGTTCCCCAAACCTAACCCTAACCGTTAAACCCCAACACCTATTGCGGCAAATTCACCCCTTCGTGAAAACGCTGACAAATTGGAATAAGCGAAATCTGGATAAAGTCAACACTGATAACTCAAAACCTGAAAGTCAAACCATCCCTCCATGGTCAAAGAAAACTGCATAGTACTACGAAATAAAACAATATATATACCCTGATTAACCAAATTTCGAGTTGTTCCGTAGCTGCATGGGAGGCTATACTATCAAGGTCGGGGCCTTAGGCCTATATATCGCAAGTCCGACTCCTCCGATGATAAACCTGGACCCCCGCCACGTCTCGGAAGTCCGAAATTTCCAAATTATTAGGCGTCGGACTGATGAGGTGTCGGACCTAGGCGTCGGAATTTTATAACAGTTATGGGCCTTATATTAGATTTTGCCGGACTTGGGGCCTATATGCGTCTGACATAATTATATGAGGCTTAGCGGAGCCCTTAAGATTTCCCTTTAAGTCCAATGTTATTGAAAGGTCAGAAACGATGGAAAATGATGAATACTCCGAATACAAAATACTCTAAATAATTATGGAGAACTAGTGATCAAAGGCATCTTGTGAGCGAATAGTTCGTCAGTACTGATTGTTATTCTCCTCTGATGTCATTGTGTATCGTCTAAACATGAGAATGCAGTTTCTATTTTGTTGGTTTCTGACAAAGGAAGGCATTTCAAATACATGTATTTTGCACCAATTTTTAGAGAAAATATTCTGAACTTGCGGAAAAAGGACCCACCAAGTCAGAACGTCGGCCAAAGAGGCGAAAAAAGATATGGTTTTTTTTGCATGCGGGAGGTGTTTGGTACGCCCACGGGGGTACGGACGTGCGGATCCAGATAATCCACCCTAAGAATTTCTGTGTAATAAGCCATGCTAGAGTAAACTTTTAAATAATAAAACATGAATCAATGAAGTTGGAGGCTCACTCGGATGGCAGGTAAGGGAGCCGCTGGTACGTTCAAGTTTGACACCACCGAGGAGAAAGAGAAGGCTGCCGGCCAAGGCTAATGCAGCTAAGGAGAAGGAGAGAATCAAGGCCAAGAAGGAACAGGAAATGAAAGCCAAGATTGCAGAAAAGCCAAGAAAGCCAAAATGGTGAATAAAGTCAAGAAACCCGCGCCGAAGAAGTCACCCAAGAAAGCTGCCAAGAAAACGCCATCCAAGTCAAATATACATCTGTCAAGAAATCCTCCACCAAGCCATGCCAGCCAAGCCAGCCAAGAAGCCAGCCAGCAAGAACACATCGAGCAAGCAGAAGAAAGTGTCGGCCAAGCCTTCGAAGAAATCATCGAATCAACAAACTAAAACCAAAACAGCTCTTTTCAGAGCCACAACATTTTCACAAAATAGATATGAGATATTCGTTTCTGCAATTTGCATTTTTATTAAATTTTATATTTTTCATGATTACTGTTTTTAAGTTTTCGTATAAAGACCCCCCCCCAAAAAAAAACCCCAAAACATCATTGCATGAAAATAAGATATTTTCACCCCATATTCCATTCCGCGCCAGGGGACAGCGCAAAGGGTGAATAAAAAAAACCATGATATTCCAACCTCCTGATTCGGAGTACTCTAAACTCCCCCCCCCCCCACACACACACACACGCACACCCACGCTTAATTGCACAGGCGTAGAAGTGGGGACGCGGCCCCATCCCCCATTTGCCCCCATCCCCCATTCGCCCCTCCCCCCGTCCCTAACGCCCCCTTCCCCGGGGTCTGGATAATGGTGCACGGAAAAAAAGGAAAACTTAGGAACAAAGGAAATTTTATCCCCGCCCCGCCCCAAGGGGTCGGGATAATTGGCAAGGCCAAAAGGGTCAATAAAAAATGTGCATGGAGTGTTCCCGGTGCACCGCCCCCTATCTCCCCACCCTTCCAACCTGCACTCCAACCCGCGGGCCTCCCTCACCCCACCCACTCAACCCCGTCCCGTCGCTTTGGGATAGTAAGGGACGAAAAAAAAAGGCCATCAACAAACGGAATCCTTGCTTTGTAACGCTTCTTCCATAGCTCCTGCACGGGTGCATGTCTATGTTCCCCAATTCCGATGTTCCCTAATACCGATGTTCCTCGAAATCCTTACCAATATAACCCTAACCCTAACCCTAACCCTAATCCTATGGATTTGGGGGAACATCGGTATTGGGGAACATCGGGTAGATCCCCTGCTCTGCTGCACGTACGTACGTGTATACTGTATACAGACTTACTGATCATTCGCAATTTTTGGCATTTCCTTCGAAAAATGTCCATGCATATTGCTCGCGACCATCGCACAATCAAACCGACCACCCACATGTGGCACACCATTCGACAGCTAAAATCCTCAACTATTCGAAATAAATTCATTTGAATTTGAACCAAATACTGGAAAGAAGACAAACGGGATTGAAGAGATGGACTCCTACTCCTAGCGAGAGTGGCCGAAATTGATCGACGACGATGTCATGCGCGTATTTTAAAGCAAGAATTTGACGATTGCGTCATAAAATTCGGCGCTGTTCACCTAATTTGCATACGAAGGTTTCTGTGAATAGTTTGTCGTGGCCCCCACCCTCTGCCCCAAGGATCGGGATTATAATGCAAGGACCAAATCAAAAGAAGATTGAGAAATTCCAGGCCCTCCCAATCTGCGGCTCTCCCGGGGATATTCAGCCCTCCTGGTTCGGAGTACGATAACCCCTCCACCTCTCTCTCCCCCTCTCTCTCCCAGGAATGATATTCCATCCTCTTTGTTTTGGGAAATCCAACCCGTCCCCCCCCCCCCTCCACCCACGGGCAAGCAAGTCTGAATAAAATCACTTGAAGAATATGCAATCCTTTGGCATTTCCTTCGAAAAATGTCCATGCATATTGCTCGCGACCATCGCACTATCAAACCGACCACCCACATGTGGCACACCATTCGACAGCTGAAAACCTCAACTATTCGGAATAAATTCATTTGAATTCGAACCAAATGTTGGAAAGAAGAAAAATAGGATTGAAGAGATGGACTCCCAGTGAGATTGGCCGAAGACGATGTCATGCGCGTAATGAAGCAAGAACTTGACAATGACGTCATCATGAGCGGAGCTGTTCGCCTAGTTGCATACGAAGGTTTCTGTGAATAGTTTGTCGGGGCCCCCACCCTCTGTCTCCAAGGGTCGGGATATAATGCAATGACCAAACTCCGCTGGATCGACGGCCTCACCAGATGGAGCGGTCTCAGCGTGGATAAACTAACTGCGGCGACCCTTCAGCGAAGGAAATCACCCCTTCACCAGTCACACAACCCAGAAGAAGTGGACGGTTGTTGCGTCAACGGGCAGTAGCCTACGACGTCTGATGATGATGATGATGATGATGATGATAATGATGATGAAAACAAAAGAAGATTGGGAAATTCCAGGCCCTCCCCTTCTGATGCTCCCCGGGATATTCAACCCTCCTGGTTTGGAGTACCTTAACCCCCCCCCCACCCCCCCCCCGACTCATGCGGCCCCACCACCTCTCTCCCCAAAGAGCAGCACGTCTTAAGATTAATAACTAAAAGAACATAAAGGACATTCCACCCTCTTTGTTTTGGGAAATCCCCCCCCCCCCCACAACCCCTACCCGGCCTCAACGGGGTCCGCTCATTAAGTCCGACGCTTCATAAGTCCGACAAAATCACATCCCCTAACCAAATAAAGGCCCATAAGTCCGACGCCTCATAGGTCCGACGCCTAATAAATCCGACGCCTCATAGGTCGACGCCTCATAGCTCCGACGCCTCGTAAGTCCGACACTCGTTTTTCCGTTGTCGGACTTTTGAGGCGTTGGACTTATGAGGCGTCGGATCTATGAGGCGGAATAAATAAAGTCCGACGCCTCATAAGTCCGAAATTTCGGACTTATGAGGCGTCGGACCTATGAGGCGTCGGACTTATGATACGGTCCCGCCTCAACCCCGGCCCGGTCCATGATATCGCAGTAAAAGAAAGTCTGGTCGGGAACGTCATTGCACCAAATTAAAAGACAAACTTCACTTGTTGGAAAAAACAATTTTAGCCCTCTTGGCGTGGTTTGAACACCACGCTCCGCCCCCCCCCCCCCCCCCCCCCCCCCCCACCGCCCCATCCCCAGGGTCGGAATATGGTATCCAGGGCAGGGGAAAGGAAAAAAAGAAAGTGGTATTCCCAATAATAAAGTCACATCATTTATCAGAAAACAAAACATCTTGATTATTTGGTGACTGCTCTATGTTCCGACACCCCTATGTTCCGACAACCTAGATTGTGTTACTCCCGGTTAGGGTTAGGGTTAGGAATAGGAATATGTGCAGTCGGAACATAGGGGTGTCGGAACATAGAGGTGTAACCGATCATTTTATTAATCTTGGGTTTTTATTAGAACGCGCGCGGTGCCGGCGGGCCGGTATAGCCGGCGTGATCAATAATTGACAATCATTCGCAATTTTTGGCAGTTCCAGTGATAAACTTCCATGCATTTTGCTCGCGACCATCGCACTATTAAACCGACCACCCACTTAGGCCACACCATTCACCAGCTAAAAAACTCAACTACTCGGAATTAATTCATTTGATTTCAAACAAAATGTTGGAAGGAAGAAAAACAGGATTGAAAAGATGGACTCCCTTGGACAATACGAAGTTTGAGTTCCAAAAAGGAAAACGCGAAAACAATATTTTAATCGTCAAAACTCACCCTTTCATTTTGACGCTGTCTTCGGCAAAAGGAAGCGGACATCATTCTGTTGCTTTCAGCATGTAAATTTCTGGCAGGTGCATCCTCTGATGTAGGCCTACAGTGATATTATTCATAAAACTGAAGGAGTCTGGCCGAAAATTGGCCGAAGTAGATGGCATGCGCGTCAGCAAGAATTTCATGATGATGCTATAATGAGCGGCGCTGTTTACCTAATTTGCATATCAAGATTTCTGTGTTGGTGGGGGCCCCCACCACCCACCGGCCACTAGGGTCGGGATATGTTGCAAGGACCGAAAAAAAGAAAAGGAAATGTGAAATTCCACCCTCCTCCTTTTGAGCCCCCCCCCCCCGGATTTTAAGCTTCCTGGTTTTGAGTACTCTACCCCCGACCCCCCTCTACACTCGCGAGGCATCCTCCCCCACGCCCCCCCCCCACCCCTCCACCGGCAACCCCTTATGTGCACTCCCCTTCCATGGGGTCCTGATATGGTGCAGGTGTTAGAAATGAAAGACGGAAATATTCCATTATCCTGGTTCTCAGTACCCCCCTCCCGTTCCTTTCCCCCCACCCAGGGGACCCCACCCCACCCCTCAAGGTGTTTGGATATATGCAATGGCCCTTCACCCAAAGAATGTGCATATTCCACCCACTGTGTCTTTGTTCCCCCGCCCCCACCCCATCCCCTCCCCCTCCCCCTCCCCCTCCCCCACCCCACCTGCAGGCCTCCCCCGCCCCACCCGCGGGCCATCCCCACCCCAACCCACCGCCCAACCCCGTCGCATCGGGATACAGGGGAAAAGGGACAGAAAAAAAGAGACACACACACATTTCATCAAACGGGATCCCTTTAATCAAACGGGATCCCTTTAATCTTCGTAACCGTCTTCCACTGAGCTATATATATCTCATGCACGTTGCACGTGTTTATATCACGTGATTACTTCACTATCATTCGCAATTTTGGGCAGTTCTAGCGAGCAATTTTTATGCATATTGCTCGCGACCATCGCCGTATCAGACCGACCACCCACATGTGCCACACCACTAAAAAGCTGAAAACCTGTTCTATATGGAACTAATTCAGGTTTTCCCCAACCAAATTCGAGAAGAAAGAAATTTAGGATTAAAAAGATGGACTCCGTCGAAAAATAAGAAGTTTTGGTTCCTAAAAAAAAACACGCTAAAAAATGTTTGAACTGTCAAAACTCAGGCAATAGTTCATCGATTTTGAAGCTTTCTTCGGCAAAAGAAAGCAGATATCATGAGCTTTTCTACTGTAAATTTCTGGCATGTTCACTCTCCGACGCATAATGATTTCATTCATAAAACTGAAGTGAGTCGGGCCGAAATTGATGGCATGAGCGCAAGCACGAACTCAACGTTGACGTCATAATGAGGGGCGTGTTGACCCCAATTTGCATAGGTGAATTTTCGCGATAAGTTTGTATGTGGTGCAGTGAGTGAATATTGTCCATAGAAAATGTATGCAAAATCGCCTGAAAAAAAACTTGTGAAAATTGCTGAACAAAACTTTTGAGTGATTTCTGCACAATAGCAACAAAGCACTGTGGGAAGGAAAAAGGGGCAACATCTGTGCTGGTCCTCTTCCCACAGTACTTCTTATTTATTATGAAAATTCACCCATAAGAATGCAATAATTTGCGATAATTAAGGCTTTTCGCTGAAGGCCTGCACTTAATTGTTTCATATACACTAACATTTGTATGTATCATGTATGGCTTGTAAATTTCTCATGTAAAACTTCAAGTTGAGGGTGATCAAGCGTGACTCCGTAGCCGGCTACGAGGTGGAGAGATCGAGTGGTTGGGTATTCTTCAATTGTGCCTAGGTTTATGCCAATGCTGAACCCATGAGAACTTTCATACATAGTGATATCCATCACCTATTTCCTGAAGACGGTCAGAGCATACTGACCGGAATGTCGAGTTTATACCTCTGGTTCTTTTCAGAACCATTCTCTTAGTTGAGAAATTATTCGCACATGGTGTTTCCGCAAACCTTTCATTATTTAGTATCTCCACCATGCAAAGCCTCAAATCTTACTCACCTATTTCATATTTGGTGCTTGTTGTAGTTCATGACAAATAATGTAAAATCTTAACTTAATGTCTTTCTTTTTGTTTTGTAGCCTTTGAGATGCTTTAGTACTTAAAAAACCCATGGAAGATGTCTGAGGAAGAGAACCATCTTAATGCGCCAGTCGGCAACCGAATTGCTCTCTGGAAGCAAGTCGAGAAACAGCACCAGGAAAAACAGCTCATCAACCCCTTCTCGGAATGGGAAGGTGCATCGACCCGCGCCAAGCTCCGACCGGACGACCTGGAGTACGCGCGTCCCGTGGAAGGGTCCATGACGGCGATCCGAGGCCAGGCCGCCGGCCAGCGTATCTCGGGCGAGATCCAGAATTTGATCGACGTCATCCAGCGCGTCGGCAGGCCGTGTGAGGACGGGCGGCACCAGGTCACTTTCGGCAGGCTCTTCGAGATCTACGTTAAAATCTCCAATAAGTTGGTGGGGATCCTGTTGAGGGCGCGCAGGCAGGGACTGGTGGCGTTTGAAGGGGAGATGCTGTGGCAGGGCAAAGACGACAACGTGGTCATTACGCTGTTGGAACCTTGTGACGAAAAACAAGGCAGCAGTTAGCCTCCCAAAAGTATATTATTGCATTTATTCAAGGTGTCCTTTTTCCTAAATGAACCTAATTTTTTTCGCTCTGGTGCAGTGAACATAGAGGCTGGAAATAGGCCCGAGACCTAATGACATGCTTTGTTTATCTGTGCTCTTTCCTATGTGGTAGACGGTCCCTACTTCGTCTGGCGTCCCGACTTCGCTCCCATAGGAGAGCGCATATGTATATCTTAGGTCTATTGTCTCATATGTTCTGTGAAGTTTCGTGGCAGTGTACGAGGTTCTGATAATTAAAGGGAATATACAACATTTGCAAACATCGAAAAATAAAATTACCAAGTTTTTATAAAATACCTTACTAGGATGTTGGTAAATGACAGTCTTAAGCATCCTGTAAAATTATGGCACCTGGTGTGAAGTCATTTTCAAGAAAATTGTATTTTTGTATAAATTTCCAACAGTGGTCGGCCGACCACCGTTGGAAAAACCTAACTATTTTTCAACTACTGCTCTAACTTCACCATTTTTTCAGTCCAAATTTTGTTTGCTATTGGTTACATGTTCATGAACGGGTGCAGGCCAGCTAGCTGGTTCCCTTACCTTACAAATTTCTGGCATTCATAAATTGATCCATTTTATCTTTAGTGGAGTCAGGGAACTAGACTACTCCACCATTTGTGTTTTTCTTGGTTTTCCAGCATTTTCGAACACAAAACTTCAAACATATCAGTGGAACAATATTTGATCTATCGTAGTAAACCCTTCAAATAGTTCATTTCTGAGAATTACAGCAAAAACCAATGATGTACATTCCCTTTAAAGGTTTCAATGCCCCCAAAATAGAAAGCTTGCAAAAAGGGAAAGTATGAAGAGTCTACTAATGCGAGGGGGAGGGGGCAGAGGGTGTAAGGGGGGGGGGGGGCGGGGCGGAAGGGCTGTTTTAAGTGAAAACGGCCTTATTTGAGAAATTTTCGGACACTGCCAGGGGCGTGCACCCCACTTCTCCCCGAATCTGCCACTGATATCGTGCGTAAGAAGAATAACATGGCTGTCCATTGAACATTACTGAATTAGTGGTATAAAAGCCACAGCCTTAATGAAACACTGGGATTTGGAAAAGTAGAAACTATGACAGGCATGACAGTACTCATTGATCATCAGGACTAATTCATAGATAGATGGATATATTATTTTTCCTTTTATGTTAGCATAAAAAAAAGGAGTGTTTATCAATTATGGATCTTTTGTTGTAGCCAGTCTTGCCAACTCTAGAAAAAATGTGTGCAATTTTAATACTAACACTAAAGTTGTGGGAAAAAAACAAAAAAAATCAGTGGATTCAAGCCAAGTTAATAATATCACAGACTTTTCTTTTATTTGGCCAAGCCGTTAACAAAGTATATACAGAAAAGCAAAGTTGTAAAGCTGACGTTAACCACATTTCTTTTTCTGTCACCTACACATCTCGACAAATTTACCGTAATTTGCTTGAATTATATACAAATGCTTCTTTAATTAATAATTAAAAAAAAACGAACAAAATCAAACCCTGATCAAAAATAATTAAATAGGAAAATTGCAACAATATTTGCAGTAAGGATTTTTAAATTTCTCTTGCAATTTTTAGATCAACACTTAAAACTGTTTAAACAACTTTTTAACCACAATTATTTTTTTGCAACTGGATAGATTTTTAAAAGACTCGTACAAATTCACCAATTTGTATCCCTTTTAAAGAAAAACTTAATGAATTATTAGGAATAAAACGCTAATCATGAATCACATCGATTTCCTATCACGGTAATGAACTTTGAACACCTTCAAATTTCTGCAGTGGACTTTCTCATTGGCAGTATGTGGGACTTGGACGAGTCTATCCTACGACCATGCAGCACATGTACATTGTACAATGCAACGCAATGTTGGGGCATACACAATTTTTACCTTTAAGCACCTGTTATCGCGATAGCCAACATGAATTTGTGACGTCACGCTATTAAAGTCTTCGCAAGAGTTTAACACATTTCATTGGTGAATTTCGCTGCGAGGGTTTTGGGACATAACATCTGCGCTGCATATGCAAAATGTGAACTGGCCTAAACTGCGTTTGTGACATAATGGCAAGTTTTCGCGCTGTGAATTCACAAAAGTTTGACACATACTTCAACTCTAGTGAATTTCGCATTCACATTCGCTTCGCATTCGCATGAAACGGCCTGAAGGTCGGTAGAAATTGACTGAAGTATAAATAATGCATTCTTATGTTAACAGTTTTATGAATATTTATCATTAAAGCTTTTGCCACCTTAGTATTAAACCAACTGTTAAAGTAAAATAAATAATTATAAATGAGTGTCATATAAATAATGCTGACATTAATGTTCAAAGGGTCAGGTTCTGTACAATGGTAGAAGAGCAAAAGAAAAATATGTAATAAATGTATCCTGTTGTTTTACTGTTTCGAGAGCTGAAATAAAAAAAAGATAAGGAAATGCAATGGGCTTAAATTTCTGGATTAATATTCTTTCGTTTGTGGTCAAAACAAGATAGTCTTTGCTTAGATTGAAGGGCAATTCGTCTCCTTTTTTCCTGGGGGGGGGGGGGGGTGGGGTGGGGTAGGGGTATGCTTACATCTACATGAACCTAGAAACCATTATGCGATCATTACGTTGAGAGGTTGGTCACACTGACTGCAAAAATTTTGTCCAAATTTTTAAGAAAATATGTCCTGTCTTTAGACACGCTTATAGCATCAAGACACCTGCCTAATGGATCCCGGCAACAAAGAAACCCAAACCAAACCTTAACAATTTATCCCCCAATGCCCAAAATATGAAATGATTACATAAATGTATTACCATTAATAACCAATCAAAACTGATGTCCAAAACGTTAAAGAAGAAATATACGTAGCTTGCAAGTTGTCCTGTTTTATGGTTTATGTCCAAAAGAATTGTTTCAAGTTTCAATTTCGCAGCAGAACTGATTAAAAGATTTATAAATTGATCTCGTTTTTTCCCTGACCACCATTTTGACCACTTTCCACGACACCGACTGACCGATAATAGGCGACACGAATATAACATTGCACTGACTGTAATATGTACGCGTATTAAGGTTTTTAAATACAATATAATAGTTTGGTTAATATAAGTTTATATACTATACGGCACTTGAACGAGAGCGTGATGCTTATCACTCTGGAAATGTATGGAAAAATTCTTCCATGCGAAAAAAAAAAAAATTCAGGAAAAAAGTTGGGGAAATCGGAGAAATAGTTGAAACATTAAAGATTCCATTCACAGTATTTTACACACTGAAGAGCATTTTGAAGTTTTTGTGTTAGTTTGAAATTATTTTGCACATTTAACAACAAATTTTGTCAGAAACATGTCTGAATCCTCTGAAATCCTCCATTGTGTTAAAAAAATAAACACCCCTTATATTTCAACTTAGTGCAATGGACCATTCCGGATTGGTCATAAGCCCCGCCCACCTTTGGTTTTATGAATGAATTTGACTGAGCTGCCATGGTCACCTGACCAAAGCATGCGATTTCATTGGTCAATGCGCCCTGTCTGATTAACAGGCAGGGAAGGGTCCATTGTGAAGGGAGTTTACCTCCCCCAATCCTTCAAAATCCTAAAAAAAAAAACTTCAGGTGGATTTTGAAGTGTCTGGGAGTTTTGAGGTCTATCCTTATTAATTTATGCAGAGCTGATAATTGATGATGACGCTGTGACAAGTCAAGTAAAATTCAAGGCCAAATTCATACTCGGCGCGAAGTGAATGCGAAAACGAATTTGTGACATCATGATAAGTTTTCGCGCTGCGAATTTGCAAAAGTTGAACACATCTCAAATCTGGCGAATTTCGCAGTGAATATTTCATGACGTCGAATTTGCTTCACATTCACATGGAGTATGAACTGGCACGAAGTCTGCATTTTCTCGTTACTTTTCTAAGAGGCTAGATTGAGACGCGAGATTGTCCTCACTTCTTCTTGGAGGGGCCTTTTTTATTCAGCCAGTAAGACGAAGCGATGGTCAGACCGTCCACCGAGACAGACATCGTCTTGGAGGGAATCTTGCTGAACTGTTTACTGCCGGAATTGTACCTGAATAACAACAAAGAGGGATTGAAATATAATAAGAAGCGTGCATTGGGAGAAGTTTGTGGAAGCCCGAAGAGCAGAGGGTTTCGGATAAAAATCAGAGGCAACAACTTTATAATTTTTATTTAATATATTTATTATAATTATATCGATTTATATAATTATTATTATTATTATTATTATTTATTCGGCCAACAAAAACAAAAGTACAATGACAAAGCAAATATTTATCATAAAATAAACAAAAACTGGAAATTGAAAAAGTATGACCAGACCAGACAGATGGGACTGAAGGATGCGAGAAGGAATGGATGGGGGGGGGGGGGGGGGGAAGGAAAGGAGAGTGGACAGTTTGACAGGAGAGAGGAGATACAATGTAGAGGGACAGAAAACAAGGACAATAAAACAATCCAAACCGGCCAGGGTAAGCAAAAGTGTACTTAAACACTTTAGCCCTGAGGCCTGCCTACCCATGCTCGAAATATCTACACAAAAATGTCTACACAAAAATCTGTAACAAAATGTATACAATGGGTCATTTGGGAGACATTCCCATAGACTTGTGCACAAACTCACTTGTATAGGTTCTCATACATCTTGTGGGTGATGTGTCTAGGCCCGACTCCGAAGAGTTTGTAGAGTTCCTCTGAGTCCGGTGAGTAGCCGTATAGCGAGCGGAACTGGAGCTGAGCGTCTCGGAACAGGATGATGAAATGCTTGGCTTCGGCCTTGGCCAACTCCTGAGGAACGAAAATGATTATTGTCATCAAAAAAAAGAAAAGAAAGAAAGCAAGAAAATTCAAGAGACCAAGATATAGACTTGTACTTATCCAACAATAAGTACAATTTAAGTAAAAGTCTATCTTGTGGATGACGGAAAAAAAATGTCCAAGATACTTGGTTGGTTCTTCTCTTATTAAAGGACACCGCAGGGGAGTTTTAACAGGAGGCCAGAAACACCGGGGCAAACCCCTTCTTTCAGCGATAAGTGTCACTGGGTTCTTTAACGTGCATTACACAACACATGGGGCCTACGGCTTTACATCTCATCGGAAGGACGAAGCAATCATGGTTAAGTGCCTTGCTTAAGGGCACAAGTGTCCAGACCCGGGCTGGAACCCACATTCTGCTGCCTCTGAAACACCAGAGCACGAGTCCGGTGCGGTGCTCTTAATCGATAGGCCATGACACTCCAAGATTTAAGAACAACGATAGCACCGTAACGGATAATATTTGCTTTCAGCATAACTGTGAACGAACAATGACAAAGTTGAATGAGTTTCCATGTGTGCAAAGAAAAGAGGCCTCGGTTGAAATCCTCCAAAACCTCCAAGGAGATTTTGAAGGATTGTGGAGGTTAAGGGTTAAGAGACCAAGCTTGCTCTAGGATCCTAGCTACTTGGCATCCACACAGGATGCAACTTCACACTTCACCGATTTCGCTTTTGCTACTTAAGTGTTTCCTTTTTAGAGTTTCGGCACTCTCCTGAAGACGGTCAGAGCATACTGACCAGAATGTCGAGTTTATACCTCTGGTTCCTTTACAGAACCATTCTCTTAGTTATTTGCACATGGTGTTTCCACAAACCTTTCATTATTTGGTTAAGAGGCTGTTAACTTTTGGCAGGGGCCATACCTCTAGGACTTTCTCCTTGTGATCCTTGTTGACAGTGCCGGCCAAGACGCAGTGGGAGATGGCGTTGGTGATGATGTGTCGATTGGATTTCGTTGTCGGCTTAACGTACAACTTGGGACCTGAAGAATAGATAAAAAGGAGCCATTTTAGGAGGAGAAAGGAGTCAGCCACTGTGTTTGACCGAAAGAGTTTTCTGTAAAAAAAATTGCAAATGTCCAAGACATCTTTTAAGTCACGATTTCAATAAAATCCAAGTATAGCATTTATCTTATGCGCAAGTTATTTAGAGCTTTAAAAAGTACATATTTTAATATTGGATATTTAGCAATGAATATTTTGTCGGCATTGGTTTCTTCGACTTCACATTTAGAAGAAGTTTTCGCTTAAAATTTGTAAGAAAATTCCTCAAGAATTGTTGAGCCTATTTCAGTCATCCAATTTTGACAGTTTTCTTTAACAGATACTTTTAAATACTTTTAATGCAAAACTGTGCATGCATTTCAAGCATTCATTCACTCAAAATGCAATTTTGAAAAAAAAAACATCTTTAAGAAAAAGCATTCTGATTTGTGTAGCAAGGAAATTCAAACGTGCTTATGACATTGGAAATTACTGTACAACTGTGAAAAAAAATGTATCGCACACATCATGAAACTGGCATCCTTTTCAATGTCACAATGCAAATGCACAACTACATGAACATGTATGCAATTGGTGTTGGATCAGTGACAAAGAACAAGATGGTTTTGAAAAACTGATATAAATTCAATACATTATTTCAAGGAATGAACACGAGTTGAAAACTGTGAGTGAACAATAGGCAAAGGTATTCAAACAATGCGTGGAATTCAATACAACATTTGTGGCTATGTTTAAAAATTGGATATTAATAACATGGGTGGTACTGGGTGTTCTGGCATGTAGGAAGGGTAGGGAGCGGGTACAAATGGGTACATGTTTATAGGGAGAACAAGCAGCATGGATGTCTGGGTACAATAGGTGTTGGGGCGGGTAAACTGGGTACAAGGGTTACAATTATGTACATGTTCATAAGGAGAGCAAGCACAAGCGTGGATGTCTGGGTACAATGGGTGTTGAGGGCGGGTACAACTAGGTACAAGGGTTACATGTACATATGGAGAGCAAGCACAAGCATGGATGTCTGGGTACAATGGGTGTTGGGGGCAGGTACAACTGGGTACAAGGGTTACAATTACATGTACAAAAGGAGAGCAAGCACAAGTGTGGATGTCTGGGTACAATGGGTGTTTGTGGCGGGTACAACTTGGTACAAGGGTTACAATTACATACATATGGAGAGCAAGCGCAAGCATGGATGTCTGGGTACAATGGGTGTAGGGGGCAGGTACAACTGTACAAGGGTTACAATTACATGTAAAAAAGGACAGCAAGCTTAAGCATGGATGTCTGGGTACAATAGGTATTGGGGACAGGTACAACTGGGTATAAGGGTTACAAGCACATCAGGAGAACAAGCGTGGACGTCTGGGTACAATGGGTTTTAGACCCGGGCAAAATGTTGGAATGCAAAATTTGGGGAAGTGTAAAAATACATGCACGGTAATAATACAGGTCACTAGGACACTAAATAAGGCAACATCCAAATTTTCATGTCTAGAGCTGTTGTCTAGATCCTCGTCAACTGCAACTACGTAAGGAAATGCTGACAATAGGTGAAGCCGTAGCTCTGGAGATGCGTTTCGAACATGGCCTAAGCTTGGATTGAGCTCAAGGACGTGGAGGATAAAACGCAGGCAAGAAAATGGGATAAAAGAAGAATGTTGCGGAGGAACGGGTTAAGCCCAGTTCATACTCGGCGTGAAAGCAAAAGCGAAAGTGAACGCGAATCAGTGACGTCATGGCAAGTAATCACGCTGCGAATTCGTAAAAGTTGAACATATTTCAACTCGGGCGAATTTCACAGCGAATGTTTCGTGCCGTCAAATTCGCTTCGCATTAGCTTTTGCATGAAGAATGAACCGGGCTTTGTACAAAAGCATTCACTGGGGTTGGCAGAACACAAGGCTGTGATCATAACTCCACCACTAGTTTACAAATATTATTGTAAACCACTGGCATTGGAGACAAATTGGGAACAAAGACTACAGCAAGTATGCAAGCAAGATAGGTTGATCACATCATCAGGACCACTGCATCCCACGGGAAAGAACATAGTCCGGACCAGCACAGGCGAAAAAGCGGAACCAAAATGCTACAGTTTTGCCCTGGGCAACATCAATCATCTGATATATAATCTCATCACACACATCTTTACAGTTGCCCAGCAGAATTCTTTGACAAGTCAATACGTCTTTCCAAGAACGTCGAACACAGGGAGATATTTGTCTCAGTATCCAGGCACCATATTTGACCCTCCAGAAAATAAATAGGAAAAGTGTGTCTCGCAGGACCCCAAAAGTGTAATGTCTACAGCACAGAATGCTGAAAATGGAGGAAATACACGTAATAGGAAATCAAAGAACTACAAAATTGGAAATCCTATTAAAATAGAAAAAATACCACAAATAATTTTTTGGTCATGTTTGTGGTGAACTGGTCGATAGCTTCACATCAAACTCTGTAGGGGTATGATAACGTTTCTGCTTTCAAGTTATTTTATTGTGAAAAGATGACAGTCGACAATGATATGACACTTTCAACACACCGACCAAAAAATTCAGACAAAGAACCCGACCGACAACCGACTTCAAGGCACAAGACGAAACAAATCATGCAAACGGCGCATCGAGAAGAAACACTGATTTGGGAGAAACTTTGCAGATATGCTAAAAGGGAAATCGGTGGACAATTCAGAGAACAGACACACACAAAAGTCGGCCAGCAAAAATCAAAATGAGCCATGCACACAAAGGCAACTGAATTTTTTTCAAAAGCAATTTAACATGCAAAACAGGTTCGTCACACCACAAAAACATGTGCAAATACTCGAGCGGGGTGGTGGGGTGGGAAAGTCTTCGTCCACAAACCCTGATATTCCGGTGTTGCGGTGCCACCACCCCCAGAACCATTACTGTCCTGAGACACCACGCTGGCCGCACTCGAGCTGCCCGCAACCTCGTCCGCTTGACCTTCGACCTGAAGCTGCTGTTTGTTGTCCTGTTTCCGGTACACCGGGGACGGCTGCTTGATCTCCCTGACCTTAGGAGACTGGGGGGTCAGTTGCTTAGCAACCGGCTCGGGCTTTCTCTCTTCCAATTTGGGGGACTTAGGGGTTAGTTTTTCTTGTGCGGCGCCCTCGCTTGTTTCTTGGGAGACCCCCTGCTGTTTGGGCGAGGTGGGTGGCCCTGGTTTCTCTGTTGGGGTTAATATTACAGCGGAATTAGTGCAAATGTGCAGAGAAATCGAAGTGAAGTAAAGAGTGGGGATGAGTGATGAGAAACAAATATAATGAAGAATAAGTTGAAAAAAACAATGACTTATAAGACGCCATGAAAAAAATGAAGTAACTAAAATTTATAGATAAAGATGACACATAATGTTTAGTTTACGTTTGTCATGCAATACTAAAAGGATTGAAATGACTGAATATGAAAGTCTCTAAAAATTCCATCATTTCACAAAAAGTTGCACAAAAACGTTACTTGGCAGAAACAATGGAAACACTGAAATTTAAGACATTTTTTATTAAAAAAAATATTTTAAAAAATTCACAAATTCTGCACCACAATGAGCTGAAATTAAATAAAATCTGTTCTTAAATGTGACACAAATAAATGCTCCAAATAAGGCAACATTTTCGAACAACTTTGCAAATCAACGGCATGTAAATTAAAGTTTGAGACAAACATCATGATAGGAAAATCACGGTAGATGAAAAAGGAGGCCATGGGAATTCTTACAAGTAAGGTACGACGCACTTACATGTAGTTCCACGATTGACTTGTAAAGTGCATGCGTAGACTAGCCCAGTGGTAACTAGTGCGATAGTCTACTATGCATGCGTATTGAACTTGTACGTGAAACTTCGCCTGCGCGCTTGGTAAACAGCAAAACTAGCGGCTGACACGTGATGGCGAATGGACCAGTGAGAACTCGGCTCTTGATCATGAATATGTATGAGGTATAGTAATTCTAGATAGCCTCCTGTTCTGTCTAAAAACCTATGGCTTTTAGCATAACGCCTCAGGTTGGATAATGGCAGGACAGGCAGGAACGTGTCTGTTCTTTTGATTTTCATCGACAGGCATCAAAAGTCAAGCTGCAATGTGCATGGACATGTAAATAGTGGCTAAACTCTATATCCTCCTTAACCCTGCTATGCAAAAATACATTCTGTGCTAACTGCCAAGTTGTCCTTTCCGTCAAAATCAATCCAGTGACTTTTCAATAGTTAAGAGCTCCCAGCCTACATAAAGCAGGATTGACTGGCTGTAACTATTTATGAGACTTGATACAGCTATGCCTTGACTGTAGGAGATTGATAAGCCAGCTGTGCCCACCACTTGCCAGCTTTTGCCTGTGGACTGAATTCGACTAGTCCAGGGGTGTGAGTGACCACTGATAATAAGAGCTGAAAACACCTAAAAAACGGCGTAAAAAAGCTGAACTTTTGAAATCTCCAGTACTTCTGTACATAGCAAGTGAGGAAAAAAAGCTGAAATCCAAAACAAAAAAAGCTAAAATCAGCTTTAAAGCTGAGATTTTACACCCCTGCTAGTCAGAGTGCTTGCTTGAAATGTGATCTGACTGTTGGTGACTAGCCTGTGTAAAAGGCATGGCAGGGGAAGACGATTGAGTTTTTTTTAACTGTCTGGGACTGTTCAGATATCAGGAGGCTTAATCTCAATGAAAACAGGTGAATCTTAGTTTTAATGGTTGTAATCTGGTTCTTGGAAAGGTAAAAAAAAATTTAAAAAAAAAAATCAAAAGCCTATCCTGACGCAAGTGCTGCGCTCTACTTTTTGTGCAGCTTCTCTTCTGCAAACAAATATTTACGGTGAAATGATGAATAACAAAGGATGGGTTGGTTTTCCCAAAAAAATACAGTGAGTACAAATGTATGTGATGTTAGCATGAACGAAAACAGCAAATCATGAGTTATTCGGGAATTTATTTTTTAGGTGGTTGATGGAATGAAATGTCACGACCACAAATATAACACGGCACGCCAAACCACGAAACATACCAGCGGCGCCACCCACGGCCCCAGCTGGCACGGGGCCGGCAACAGGGGGCGCTTTGAGGTGACTGTCACCACTGCCACCACTAGAGGGCGCTTTCACTGTGAAGGATTTCTTCGGGGCACCTGAAGGTCGGAGAGCGTTGTATCATTGTGCAATGTTACTGAGATCCTAGTTTTTACTTTGCAGTGGAAAACTCACAATTTCTTGCCTGTCGATATTTTTGGTTATTAAATGCAATCTAACATTTCTTTATTTTTTTCACTTCAAAGTAAAAACTGAGTAATGTTCTTTTAACAGAGCAACAAAAAAAGACATTACTTTGTTAGACTTTATCTCAAAACGACTATGTTATCAGTGCATTTAGAAAGCTCTACCAATGAATTAATTTCCGTCCACCACAGAAAGCCAACAGAGGGCGGCAAACAACTTCTCACTGCAATTCTGAGCACTGAAAAAATGCACTGAAAAGACATACATGTGAGATATGAGCTGAAATTGATTCATATATGGTTATGTTGCCTTATGTAATAATGTGGCATGTGCTGGAATAGATCTCTCTCACAGAGCGCCATCTTCGTAGGAAAATTACAACTGCGTATTTAACACAATCAGGTACATGTGCGCGCAGTGTGCAAAATGTTCTAAACACGCTTGCGTGTTGCTCGAAATGTCTTCGAAACATGGCGCAGCCGATGCGCGCCATGAAAATTTGACGCCCAAAATGCCGATGCACGTGGCAATATGAAGGAAGTGACGTCGTTTGAGAGAAACCTATTGTATATGAAATCTTAGATGTACATGTATCTCCTTAAGAAAAAATATTTAAACCTTTTTACTTCAAAAATGCAAACTCAAAAACAGAATCCAGAACTCAATGACCACAATGCGCTAGTGCCTTTATATGCAGCATCCACAAGTAAACAAAAAATTTGTAACGACAACCAACATTCATGACCCTATGGACTATGTGCATAATACGTCTGAATATGCGTAGCAAGAAAAGTTTGACCGCCATTTATGTTGCATGCCAACACTTGCGTGTGCTTTATCACAAAATGATATAAGTTTGTGTTTACTTGTTCCAAAATTGTTTGAGAAAACTTTTGGCCCTTCGCATATGCGAACCTGTGCTTGAATGTGTTGAATTTTCGTAACACAGCGCCCTATATAGTTTCTGCACAGAGACCATACATTAGGCAATTTGAACTTTGACCCTGAACATTGACCTCTGACCCCAATTTTACCCTTGCTCATTCTTAACAAGGAATTAATTGTCACATAGCATTTGAAGTTTTCCTGCGTTTTGGATCTTTTTTAAATTGAGAATTCAACACTCTGCCTAAGGGTGCACACATTTAAATAGGCAAAAAATCCGTCCGCTGAGCTCTTGAACAAATTCTTCTCTATTAGAGAGTTTTTAGAGCCATGGAATTGGGAAATTGAAGAGATATGGTAATGAACCTCTGGCCCGGACTTGGGGTTCCAATTCTGAGCATTTGGGATGCAATCGGGCCCGAAAGTGGCGCTATTTAGCCATGTTGTGGAGGGATCCGTTTTCAAGATGGCTACTTTTCCACTTTGGGAAACATCACTCGTTTTAGGGGTTGTCTTCTTTAGGGGAGAATTTCTTGAAAAGTCATGGGTCAACCCACCAAAAAATTGAAAAGAAAATGAAAGACGACACGTTGATCATCATTTGTCTGTGCAGCCTGAACACCTGTGAGAGTTACGAGTATTTTTAAAAGAATTTTGAAGTATGGGAATTATGTCTATGGGAATTTATTTGATTGTGTGCACCCCTAAGACCCATGTGAATCATGACCTTTAACCTTTGACCTTCAATGCTTGCCTAGAGGTCAACCACCTTTTGTTTGACCTTCAATAACCCCAAATGCCACTACTTACTGTAATTGTCCAGGTCCCGATCCGAGCCGTAGCGGCTTGCCGCGGGCCGGCCGAAATCCGTTTGGTCCTCCACTATGCAGGATTTGGGGCGGGGCTTGGTCGACTTGGCCCGCCTCGTTGGGGGTGGTTCACTCTCCTGGTGTAATTTGAATAACAATGAATATCATTTAAATATTATGACCTGAACCAATCATGTGGTAGAATCGTGTGAGTGCATAGCAACCAATACTATAAGTCACATTCATTTTAAAAATGTGCGTGCACAAGTCAAGACTTAGCAATTTCACCTCTGGATAAACAATCCGCTGTCGTGGCCAAGAATGGGTGAAATTCGTGAAATTTGCAAGAATCCGTGAAATTGAAGAAAAGTTCACGACTTGTGACTAGTTCTAAGCTTGGAGTAAAAAGCTTCATTAAAAAGGTCTGGTACCTGTTGGTCTTGCTGTTTGCGTCTCTGGTAGTCCAGCCTGATCTGTTCCCTCCGCGCTTTCTCCTCGGCTTTCTTGGCTTCCAGTTCTTCTTGTTTCCGCCTGATCAATAGAAAAATAAGTGTCAAAGCGAGAAACTAATTTCAATTAATTTGTAGTCCTAACCACCACAAACTCTCTGGAATTGAAGACCTGGTTTGCAGTGTCTTGACGCATTCAAGACTTAACATAAACCAGCCCAACATAATCAATTCACAAGTTTTATAAAGTTGATCCACGATTCTTAGCAATTTTTATGCCGTAAAAGTACATAAACGAGACTATAATACCGAGACAATGTGTGTAAAGTTGTGAATAGAAAATGCATTGAATAATTATGAATTAGCTTGGAATATTGCAGTTGAAATTTCAAAGTAGCTATACAGTCCACTGAGAGCTTGTTTTCCATTAAAATTGCATCACACGTACGCCATTTTGTGTTACGTTTTAAAAAATTTCGAGAGGAGATCCGACGACTCTTTGTTGAATATCAGACAACTATTTACTGTATGCTGAATAAATACATAAAACAGTCACCGAGTTGCGCTATAAATACACCTACGACGTGTCGCAGTTACGTGTTTTGTGAAATGGATAGCAGGATGCATCGCAGCTGCGACGCATTGTAGGGATACGACGCGTCGCAGTGCTGTGATGCATCGTAAGTTTCATGAAATCGGGTACTGATGTAGGAATTCAACAGAGAAGTTGGAAAGGGTCCTCTTTTGAGGCCAACGCTTGATGGCAAACTGTCAATGGCACTTTCCCTGCATTGTGAGTTGCTCATATTTCCTAGAGTTGAGCAGCCAATCTAATATCTACATGTATTAAGTAATAACTTTCTTGAGTATGGTCCCACCTGTTCTGTTCTCTCTTCTTCTCCATGTCGGCCTCCCGGGATGCTCTCTTGGCTTTCTCCTCCTCCTGCTTCTTGAGACGATTCTGGAGGAACAGCATCTTGCGTTTCTCAACCTCATCCAATTGGTCCTGTCGAGTCAATAAAAGATGTTGTAAGCACAACTGTCTTTGGCCAGTCACTTGTTAAACATGTGCTCTATTTCAGCAGTGAGGGTAAGGTGTAGGGCAGATGTTGTGCAATAAGCTTAACCCTAACCGCCCTGAATCCTTCAAAATCCTCTTTGCCAATGTGGAGGAATTTGGAGGATTGAGGTTACATGGCAAAAGTGCGTTACTGATTTCATAGGATGCACTGTGTCAAGGTCTTGGGCCTGACCTTGTATTGTTTATGCTCAGCCATGCGCAAATATAGGCCTGGATTATGCTTGAAATCCTCCGTACTGCTCCAGGATGTCACTGGCCAAGCCTCAACATATTGACAGTCACTGCCACTGGATTTTGCAGGATTCAGGCAGTGGTTAACCCTCCATGGACCATATTCAAGAAATAACGGAGGAATTTGCAGGATTGAGGCTATGCTATTTTTCCATGAGGCCAATTGGAGGGTTTTGCAGGATTGAGGCTACATCCTAACAAAAAGGCCTAGGGAGTTAGGGTTAATAACATGAGACTCTAGAAGGTGGGTAAACATAAATTATACTCTTATTCAAGACAGATTGTACCAAGGCATTTGTCTTATGATTTCCTTCATTTAAAAAAAAAAGCCAATATTTCCTTATACATTCTCTACAGATTTCATAAAGTACGCGCTCCATGGCTACAGAGTTTTAAATCTGAGTGAAATATAGAGTTTTATTTCCAAAAAAAAGTTAATGTGTTAATATTTTAATATGTATCAGCACTGAAGTCATTTATGCATAATGCTAGGAGTTGCATTTTTTTTGGTATTGTTGGGTCAGTTTAAAACCTATTCAAATAGATAATATTTCAATTTCAACTCACCGTTTCTGCAGCAATAACAAATCCCTTAGTTTTTGAGTCTGAGTGTAAGGATGTATTTCCTGTCGAATCTAGAGGGCGCACTACTAAGCTTTCATCCTCGCTACTGTTATCGTCATCGTCATCACCCTCACCAACGATCTCATACAATGAGCTGCGCTTTTTCCGAGTGGGCGACGTGGCCTCGGTGCGACTTTTCTTTTGTCTTTTCACAACCTCGTTGGTGCCTGTGGGGCTGGGTGCCGACTGTTCTTTCTTCGACATTTGTGCCATGTGATTGGACAAACCCGCAACCGTCGGAAGAGGCGGCTGGTGCTGATTGGTCAGGGCATCTGCGTTGCGGGGCTGCCCGTTGGCTGGCGTTGAGGACAAGACGCGGGTCAGATTCTGCGGGGGTTCGTGCTTGCTCGTCTCGCTGACGTCCTGGTTCTTGGTTGGGGTCACCGAGGGTGGAATGATGTACGAACTGTCCGGTGGCGTGGACGGGACTTGATTGGCCGGGTATGACGATTTCAGACTTTGCGATGGGTCCGCGGGTCCTGTGATGGAACCCCGTCCAACTTCTGCGGGCAGCTTCTGCACCGGGCCCACCGGGCGGGGGCTGGGAATTTGCGCATCCATGCCAGACATGTCATAGACTGGATTGTCATGAAGAACGAAAGACTCGGGTTCTTTGTTGGTGTCCGAGGTCAAAAAGAACCCTTGAGGTTCGGCAGTTGCGTTGCTTTCAGCTTGTAAGACGAAAGGTTTGGCATCTGAAGGCAGAGCCTGCTGGGGGGAATGGCTGCGCTCGCTTGGAGGGCGGGGGGATTCCATGACACTCCGCATCTGCTCCTGGCGCAGCGACAACCGTTGGATCTCGCTCTGCAGCTGCGACAAGTTGGCGTTGAGCTTCTCTAAGGAGGTGTTGTACTCCTCCGATGTCATGTGCGGGGAGTGGGACCCGGAGCTGGAACCGGGGCTGCCTTTGCCAGCAGGGACCTCTGGGATGCTCTGAGGGGACTCGGATCTTCTAGGTGAGCTATCCGGAGGTTGGCTTGGGGCCGGAGGTTGGCTTGGGGCCGGAGTGTGGCTTGGGGCCGGAGTGTGGCTTGGGGCTGGAGTGTGGCTTGGGGCCGCAGGTCTCTGCGATCGGGGACTGTCTGCAGCACTCCGATTGGAAAGCTGCTTGTCCTTGTTGGAGCCCAGATCGGCAAAAGTAATCTTGCCTTCCTGAGCCTGATTGCTACCCCACTGGGATCGTGATCTCTCAATGGATCGCTCGATCTCCTCGCGGGAGTAACCATCCTGTGATTTCAGTTTCTCGTCGCCAAGGGCTCGATCATCCTCAGTCCTGATTGGTTGGTCTTCGCTAGAGATATCCTTCCCCCGCTTCTGATTAGCCAAGACCTGGAGAAACGCGGCCTTCCCCATGCGCTGCCGCTGTTTGCTCAACTGGCGCTCCAGTTTGCGCTTGTCAGAGTCCATAAGCCGGCGTTTCTCCTCCAGGCGGGCCCGGATTTGAACCAAGTCACCCGCCGCCGGGTTTCCGGGCTGGGTTGGGTCCCCACCACCACCTGTGTTAATAATGCCACACAAAGGAGTTTGTTTCGAGTTAGCATCCCAGGTGGTAAGCACCTGGCTTTCGGGGTCGCTACTGGCCGACTCTAGTGGCATGCGGGAATGCGCTACTGTGATTGGATGAGTAGAGGGGATGAACTCTGGCTTTGAATGCATACTTAATGAGCTATCGGGGTCTACTGCCAACTTGGGATTGGATTCTGGATTAGTGTGTTTTGTGTCCAAGGTAAGGCTTTCTTGGGCCAACCGGGCTTCTGTTTTTTCAAAGTCGTCAAGGTCTTCCTGTTCCTGAGAGACTGTGAAATGAGAGGAATTTGGTTTCTTTGTAAGGTCACCATCTTTGTGAGAGTTAACGACAGGGGATGAGGTAGCTGGAATAATGAATTTCTCGGAAGTTGACTTTTTATCGGGACTGAGGTTAGAGTTAAACGTCATTACGACAGGTTTTCGTAGGTCTGCAGCGGACTCTCTTTGAATCAGATCGGCATGCAACTTAGAGGACTCTTTCTCCGGACTCTGGGGCTGATGATGATGGTGGGGAATGTTATCACTACCTGTGTCCATACCTGTGTTAGGGCGTCCCCGTGGGGACTCCGCATGCGTCAGGCCGGGCCTGTCACCACCTGAATGCAAAGCGTTAGGATTGAAAGCGGTTTCATGCATGGGCGGATTGGACTGAGCATGCAGGTTGGGGGAGGGGTTCGAGGGGTGAGGGTTGCTAGAGGGGCTCTCAGTAGGGTGCCAAGCGGAAACAGGATGGTGCAGGGGTGCGGCATGCAAGTTAGGGTGAGCGGAAGGATGGCGGGGGCTGGCTCGGTAGTCATAGGACGCCGGGTTGTCCCCGTCCTGGAGATCAGCCAGAGAAGAGACGACAGGAATACCAGCCTCCATGGCGCTAGCCGCCGTATACTGCCTGTCAGCAATAGTAAAGCTGCTACCAGTGCCAGTCCTGCTAAGAGAACTACTTCCTACAGATTGCTCAGGCTGTGCAAGAGTGTGGATGAAGAAGGCCTCGCCGTGTTTGGCATGGGCCACATGCGGCTCTTCTGGTTGGCAGAGGTGAGAGGCGGTGTCAGAAGTGGGATCGACCTGGTGTGGTGCAGGTCTTGGCTTCTGCCAGGCCAGGCGGTGCTGCTGCTGTGCAGCATCCCCGGCAAGTGAATCAGCTATACTCTCACCGCTCAGTGGCGTTGTCGCATCCAGGCTCTCCGGCGACTCGCCTTCCCCGCCAGTGCTGTGCTTCCTGGACCATGTCATCATGTTGCTGCCATTTGGGTTAGGCGACCTCCTGGGTTTCTCCTCGCGTGGGTTGCGGCCGATCCGCCTCCCTTCCCCGCTCTCCTCTTTCTTGTTCACACTGCGGGATTTCTCTTTGAGCGGCTTCACAACCGCTGGGAGGAGTCTCTCACTTTGTTTTGTATCAACAGGCTGGATATCCAGCTTTAGGCGTCTTCGCGACTGCGTGGAAGCAGTTACTTCCAAATCTCGCTCCATTGTTTCCAAATGTCCAAATCCTCCATTAGCATTTGTCCTTGACAAGTCAGATCGACCATTTCTGTCATACGATTGGTCAGGCACAATCCGTCTCGTGTCCAATTGGTTGGTTTGACCAGTTCCTGAGTCCCACGACTCACTCGGCTTCGAGGACATGCTACTCAGAGGAGTCACATTGGTCAACTCTTGATCGGTCGGGCAGCCGTTCTCATCCCCCGGTGATCTGCTGGCAAGTACCTCTTCCTTCATACTCCGCGAGACCGGCTTCTCAGCTTGCCGCGAGATGCGTGACAGTGCCGAGGTCAAGCTCTCCACCTCCAAATCATCGTCATTTTCAAACTGCGAGTGCGCAGCAAGTCCCTCGCCATTGCCATCCCTAGGCGGTCTGCCATTCAGGTTCGGGAGAGCGTTCAGCTCGGCAAAGTTCTGGCTTTCGTTGACGTTGCTGTCGATGCTGACATTGGCCAGGAGGTTGCTGGCATTGCTGTCTCGAACAGAGGAGGCTGGGCCATCACCTGGGCTCAAGGTTCCAAACGTCTGCGATCTGCAAATTGACAGATAGTAGAATCTTAGTAAAATGTCTGGATCATGAGAAACGCTCCATACCACACTTGTTTATTATGGCATGAAGGAAACTTTCATTACGTACAGGAAACCCGCTTTATCCAACACTGCATGTTATTTAAGAATTTTAAACTCAAAGATATCATTGCTAGAGCGCTGCGGCAGGCTGTGGTGGGCTGTGTGTATCAAGCGCGTTTAGCCATGATGCCTGTTGATTCCGCACATATCGGCGAGCTGAGGGAGGACTTGTGATTGAACTTGTGATGGACTAGTGACTGGATTTGTGATAGAATTGTGAAGACTTATGACTGGACTTGGACTGGACTTCTGATGGACTTGTGACTGGACTTGTGATGGACTTGTGATGGACTTGTGACTGGACTTGTGATGGACTTGAGATTGGACTTGTGACTGGACTTGTGATGGACTTGTGATGGACTTTTGACTGGACTTGTGACTGGACTTGTGACTGGACTTGTGATTGAACTTGTGATGGACTTGTGATGGACTTGTGATGTACTTTTGACTGGACTTGTAACTGGACTTGTGATTGACTTGTAATGGACTTGTGATGGACTTGTGATGGACTTGTGATGGTCTTGTGACTGGACTTGTGATGGACTTGACTACAACACTGCTGCAAAGAATGCCAAGGTTTGGATGCCCCATCCTCTCCTGACAATCACAGACATACCTTTCCCTGGCTTCTTCCCGGCTCTGCCAGGCCAGGAAGGACTGTCTGGCTTCGATGTTCTCCAGGGAGCTGGCCCGTCTCAGGTTGGAGGGACTCTCCTCTGTTTGGTCAGCGTGGAGGGCATTCCGCTGCCTCCTCTCCCGATGAACTAGAAGGGATTGAGACCTCCTGAATCGCAAAGTTAGAAACAAAAAATGCATGAAACATAAAAATGAAACATAGAGTAACACAGAAAACAAAAACATAGAAATAGAAATTCCAGATTCTAAAATGAGATTTTTAAACCAAATCTGATAAAAAAATTCCTGAAATCAGGGAAAAATTCTGATAGAAAATGCTGAGATCTGGAAAAATCTTGACAAATTCCACCCTGATCGAAGGCAAATACAATGACAGATCTCAGTGGACTGTAGGGTTAAGGACAAATGTCAAACGGTGGTTAAAGCAATTTTACATGTTACCCAAGACGGAGGCTATCCGAGGACAGAGGAATCTATTCCAAGGTTTGAAAACTTCTGGATCTTATTTTAAGGAACTCCGAACCACGGATACGAAACTTACTGAGGACTGGCGGACGTGATCCGATTCATTTCAGGGTTGCTCGCTGCGCTCCGTAGCTCCGACCTCGGGGACGATGCGTCGCCGTGGAAACTCTTCTTCGTCGCTGAGCTGATGGGAAGCGGGGGCAGCTGCTGCACCCTGGACTTTCCATCGGGGGTCGCTGGAACTTTTTGTCCTGAATCAACCACATTTTGAAATAGTGCAACTGATATGTGTAACTGACATTCCACTTCAATAAAAAAAATGATAATTCTTTTAAAACAATTGATATATTTGGTGTATTCCAGACCTGTGTGAACAGGTCTTGAATGAATTTCAACTGCAGGAACTTGCTTATAGTGACCGTTTTTTTTTTCTCCTTTTTTTGACAAGCTCTATATGACAAAATTGCACTAGACTACATTAACCATAAAAGTCCTCCAGCAATCACTGTTATACATTGAGGCAGTGCCAACTATATCCAGAAGCAGTGCGGATGTTAATTCATTACAATCTAGGCCTCAATTATGCATGGCTGAACATAAACAATGTATGATACAGCCTATGACCATGACTTCCTCCAAAATCAACTGCCACTTGTTTGTCATTCAGCCTAAATCCGCCCAAATCCCGTTCCAATAAGCCAAAGGGGTAAGGCTTAAGGGTCACTATGCACACAGAGGAAATGAAGCCTGTACCTTGGTCTTGGCTGAAGCCTAGATGTGGCGGCTTGGCCACCTCAAACCAGTAGAAGAGCTCAGCGATGAGGGCCAAGATGTTGACTCTCAAAACCTCGGGGGAGTAGAGCAGGTCCTCAAAGGTGAAGTGATGGGTCTCAGGGAGGTGCTCCTCCAGGAAGTTCTCCACCTGCTGGAGGTTGTTGACCGAGTCGGCGAAGGACATGGTGTCATGGAGGTCCACGTCTGACAAAAAGGAAAGGAAGAAAAAAATTAAAAGGATTTCAGGTGTTGTGCTGCGGACAAAAGAATTTGAAAGAAGTTGCAGATGCACCATTAGAAGTGAATAACAGAAAATGTAGTATTAATAATAATAATAATAATAATAATAATAATTACTGGACTTATGGAGCGCCAAATTGCCAAAGGATACAATGAAACATTCCAAATACCATCTCAGCTCCCTGAGGAGTAAACAGCTCGATGCTGCCATTTCGGCGCAAAGCAGCTAAATCAACCACAATAACCATCTCTGCCCTCACAGGTACCAATATACTCCTGGGTGGAGAGAAGCAACGAGTGACAAAATGCCTTACCCCAGGGCACACTTATCACAGCCCCAGGCTGGACTCGAACCCACAACCCGCAGAATCACCCGCAGACCACAAATTCAATGCTCCAGACCACGAGGCCACAGCACTCCACGTATTGAGAATAACTAGAGGTATTGACACGACAATTAAGTCAGTATAATCTGACCATCATCTGAAGAATGCCTCAACTTTAAGCGAGAAAAAGTCAGAAGGGTGAGTTAGTAGGAATGAAATAGTAGGGCACAAAAACGAAAACTGTTCTTTGTCAACCTGTACTTATTGTCCCCCAAAAAAGTGATGAAAGTAAACAGTTAATTTGGTGTAAAACCCGTGTTTGACGAAAGAGTAAGACCCCTGACTCGAGCAACTCCAGCTCATTATGGGTCCATGCTCTACTTCAGAGAGATCAAATCCAAAAGACGAGGTTAATTTGGTCTATGTTGATTCTTTTGACTTCTGAATCCAGAGATGAAGCTGAAGCCAGCGGCGAAAGCAAATCTTCAGGAACCCGCTTTGCTACAGCTTAATTTTCTCACGATGCATAAGCCTTAACGACATTCACACTGTGCAGTACTTTTTCATCTAGACAGCTCAAATTCATCAACACGGCTGACACAGAGGGGTGATGTCATTTGCAGACAATCCAATGGGAAATATTTACCGTCCAATGAGAAGAGGTGAGGGCAGTAGTGGTGTATCAGCAGGCAGAGGCTGCGGCCGTCCGATACGTCCTTGGTGACGTTCTTGATGACGGGAACACAGGGGAGCTCCTTGAGTTGTAGCTGCTGCCGTTTGATCCGTACCTGGGAGCAGAATTAACGAAATCAATTTTAAAATATTGCTGAACGTATTCATTTCTAAGGAAGCGACTATCCTGCCCTGGGCCACCGATATGGATTGATTTTGTGGGCTTTCCCCAGAATATTCTTCGGGGGTTTTCCTCCCACCTCTAAAACTGTGGTTTCTTCTCATTGTCTTCCCTCTACAGGTTTTTTTTTAGGCTTGCGAGTTACAGTGCCAAGGGCGCTTTTGAGGAATCCTTGGTTTCATCACCAGAAATAAATAACAATGACAACAAGAACTCGTGACAACGAGGAAACTGTCGATGACATGTACCTTCTGTGCTTGTGACTGCATAGATTGGTCCTGTTGTTGGCTTCTGCGCTCCCGCTCCATCCGATACCGCGACGCGACGCACACCTTGTTGACCCAGAAGACGAGGGCGTTCTCCAGGTCAAAAGGCAACTCGCTGGAGGCGTTGAAGGTTGCGATACGTCTAGAAATACGAGTCGAACAATCTCCAAGATGTAAACGGACTTAGTTTGGAAAGTTTGGCGGCAATGAACCTATAGTAGTGGTGGTCTTGTGGTGGATTTCAGCGGATTTGGTTTTAAAGCATTATGTGGGGCAGGGTTAGTGATGAGTTTTAGCGGACTTGGACCAGTACTTAGTAAAAGACACTAGGGAGTTGGGGCTAATGCATACTAGGCAATTTGTAAGGTTGGGCGGACAAAATAATGCACTCGCAAGCTTGAACTACATGAGTTTAAATGGATTTTTACAGAATTTGTTTTTGTTTTTATTTCATAAATGGTTTTTCTATGTGGCAAAGCGCTATCACCAGGAGGTGGCAATGAGTCCAAACTGCTTTCAAATACCGGTACTCTGCTTTAACACATTCTGACACAATGAAGTACAGTCCACTCTCGTTGGTACAAACTCTGTTAATACAAAATTCTGGTTATTACAAACATAAAGCCTTGGTCCCGACTGTGCATTTATGTGCACAATGAATGGGACTGATGTTCCTCTTAATACAAAATTCTGATATAACAAACAATTTGGCTAGGTCCGAACGTGTTTGTTATAACGAGACTCGACTGTAATAGGCTTTCCGTGTTGAAACATTGCTGTCATTAAGAAAAATAACTGAAACATTTTTGTGACTGATCGATTTTACCTGACAGCTTGCACGATCTTCTCAATGCTGACAACTTCTCCAGTGTAGGCCGTCATTATGGAATCCATCACAGCAAGGTGGGCATTCTGTGATTATGACATGAAATAAATAAAATGGATATTAAAACTGCAAAAGATGTGTCATGTGAAGATGTGACAAGGTTACAATGTGATGTAATGGGGAGTCAGGTTGGCGTAGCGGTGCTTTCCTCGCCTTTGAATCCCGGGTTCGAATCCTGCCTGGGCCAATATGTGGATTGGGTTTTCAGTCCCTGCCTGATTCCGTGGGGTTTTCCTCAGAATACTCTTCTGGACTTTTCCTCCCACCTCTAAAACTGTAATTTCTTCTCATTGTCTTCTCTTTACTGGGCCCCATGGGAGACCAGTGGATTCCACTGAATGGGCTACCCAGTTAAAAAAAAAAAAATGTCACAATCTGACATGTGATATGACAATGTGACATGTGTTGATGTGTCTGTTTGCATTGCGACACATGACAATGTGACGATGTTACCTGTGTCGATGTGACAGTGCAATACAGTGACAATGTGACGACACAACCTGTGACAGTGTCACATGCGATGAGGCGTGTAAAAATTTCACTTGGGGCAGTCCTGTATTAATGTACGCTCGATAAATAAATTTACATGTACTTGTATAAGCAGGCAGTACAAATGTGTACGTCATGGAAAATGTCATTTCTATGTGCAATCAATGGTACCCAAATTATATAAGTATGCGTATGTTTAAAAAAAATACACATCTGGAAAATGGAGAGGGAAGGATTTGTTATGTAATTATCAATAACTTCCTGATCAGGGGTACATACATGTACATGTACCCATATTGGGACATGTGTACTTTGAGATAGATGTGTACATGTACATGTACATGTACTTATTATGCATAAATATTTTGCAACAGGTCAAAACATATACTTGTGTACATGTTACATGTACATGTAGATTATGTATTAATACATTAACCATTAATTAATACACATACCATGCATACACATCAAGTGCGCCACAGTGTACTCATCAGGTTTAGAACATACATGTACGGTATTTGTTTTAGTCAAAACACATGTACATGTATACGTATGTACCCCACTATCCTGTGCAATACACGTACCCACATGTACATGAACATGTACATAAATGTACACATGTACATGTACAGGTCCGTATTTGGACCGAATTTCATGTCAAAATTGAGCAACACGGAAGTTAGCGCTGTTTGCCTTCATTTAAGTACCTACATGTACTTCTAGGGATGGCTTCACTTGGGCATGTATGTGCATATCATGCCTTTGGGCAACTGGCAGAAACTTGTGCTGTCATGATTAAGGGTCAAGTACTGCATGCATGTAGCATGGCCGGTGCTAACAAATATTCTGCTTATTTCTCATTTAAAAAGACAGCGACTAATATTTAAGCAATGATGGACAGGGAATGAGATGAGGGATGGGATGAGGGAGGGGGAGGGAGGGGGAGTGATGGGGTAGGGGATTGGATGGGGGATGGGGGATGGGGTAGGGGATGGGGTGGGGGTAGGGGTAGGGTCGGGGTATGGGGTAGGGGATGGGGTGGGAGATGTGGTGGGGGTAGAAGTGGGTAAGGGGTGGGGTAGGGGCTGGGGTGGGAGATGGGGTTTCGAGGTGGGTGGGGGATGGGGTGGGGGATGGGGTGGGGGATGGGGTGAGGACACCCGAAAATTACTCGTTTGAAACCCTTCCCTGAACTAGCAATGTTTCTGAAATTCAACGAATTTTGGCAAATCTGCAAAATATCTATTCCCCACAGAAAACTTGTCTCAAAATTGTCTTTTTCCTTTTAAATATAATCACTGCATGTGTACATGAAAGTGTGTCTGTACAGTAGACAATAAAAATACTCCTTTCAGAAACTGAAATAAAGAAAAGAAACAAATAATCCGAACCCAATGGCAGCACAACTCAATTTTCCCCTTGACAAGTGCCAGGATGTTTACCTCCCTTCACAAGGAAGTCATCCAATCGACCTCGGGAAATTTAATCATCGGTTATTTTTTTTCTTGGCAGACTTTTATCATTTAATACGGACGCGCGCCTGAGGAACAGGGTCTGAAAATAAACCAAATTGGGCCGTGGCCCAGAATGCGAAATTCTTTTAATGGTGCCGAGTCAATATGAGTGCGAGGAATTTTTAGAAGAGTTTGATTGTCTGGTGCCGGGATATTTACATGTAAATGAATACCGAGACTGAATTGAATAAATATTTAAATAGTTTTGAAGAAACTGCTTTCAGACTAACTAAAACAGAAAAATAAATGTTGATATTAGCAAATACATGTCCATGTGCGATAATCTTTTAAATTTACTTAAAGAATGGCACGCATTTAACGAAATTTGAATACTAAAAAAAAAAAAATTATCTCTTGTAAATTTCAATTTCTGAAATTTTGGGACTAAGCTGTGGGCTCCGTGCACAAGTACCCCTTCAACGGCCAGAAAAGGAGAGTTGGGAGAGACCTAGACTGGTTCCCGGTCCATCCACTGCGTCTTTTGAATGATCCAAAGTTATTGGGGGCGGGGATTAGTCTGGGAGACCATCGCAAGTTGGCACACTAAGCCCATATAATCTCTGTACCTCACTGACTGACTCACTGATTGTCACTTGCGAGCTGGGCAGTGCTATTGTATAGGAATACCCAATAATGTCAATGAAAGGGCTAAACACAGATCCTGTGTAGACCAAATCCATGACAAGACTTCCAGTGAATAGTCACACTGAAACTGAATTCAATAGAATTTTGTGGTCTTCGACCGACTTTTCTAGACTTGGCTTGTCTAATTTTTCATTTATGTTATTTTGTTGTTTGTATTTCTTTTTATTTTTCAAATATTTTATTTTTTTTTTTTTTTTTTGAGGGGGGGAATTTGTTATTTTATTTTTCTTCTGTTTTTTGGGGGTTTGTTTTGTTTTGCTTTTTTTTTTAGGGGGAGGGGGTTGTTATTATAATATTCCCGTACCAGTTTAATTCTCTGCGTCTGGGTCAGCACTGCCTCCGTGACCGGCTGCCGCTTGTCGTCCACCACGTAGATCCCTCGTCGCGACAAGCCCTGAATGACGCTCCAGTGGCCCTGCCATTGGTGGAGGGACGGAGGGAAGATGTTGGCGCAGGCCCGGCTGTAGAGCTCCCCCGACGAGAGCTGGTAGATGACGGCCGGGCGCAGATGGTCCTCGCCCTAGAAAAAAAAATAACAATCTGAAAACTCAAAACGGCAAAGTTATTACCCCATTCATCAGGCATGAGACCAGTTTTCTAAAGCAGCTCAAGATCAGCGCAGTCCGGTCTCTACCCTAACCAGTACCCATTTATACTCCTGGTGGAGAGAGGCAATTGTAGTAAAGTGTCTTGCCCAAGAACTCAAGCACCAAGAGCCTCTATAGTTACCTATGTTCATCAGGCAATGAGACCAGTTTTCTACAGAAGCTCGGGATCAGAGCAATCTGGTCTCTACCCTAACCAGTACCCATTTATACTCCTGGGTGGAGAGAGGCAATTGTAGTAACGTGTCTTGCCCAAGAACACAATCAAAATGATCATCTTCATTTACCCCTGTTCGTAAGGCAATGTGACCAGATTTCTGCAACACCTGGAGATCAGTGCAATCTGGTCTCTACCCTAACCAGTACCCATTTATACTCCAGGGTGGAGCGCGGCAATTGTAGTAAAGTGTCTTGCCCAAGAACACGGGGAAGATTCCCTACAGTTACCCCTGTTCATCAGGCATTGACACCAGTTTTCTGCAGCAGCTTGAGATCAACACATTCTGGTCTCTGTCCTCTCAGGTACCCATTCATACTCCTGGGTGCAGAGAGACAGTTGCAGAAAAGTGTCTTGCTCAAGAACACAAGCACCACGCTCCCCTGTCAGGATTAAATCCATGTCCCATCGCATTTGCAGTGTGAGTTGGACACCAAACATTCCAGCTCTTATCTTATTACCCATTAGGCAAACAGAAAAACATGCGCAATACGGATCGCGCAATACGGATCATGCAATACGGGCAAAATATTACATTGTTGCTGCCATGGATTGACCAATCAGGATCTAAGATTCCAAATGGATGGAAGATAAGGATTGGTGGAATGTTGGGACTGACCTCTTTGTCCTTGAAGAAGGGGCTTCTGATATCAGGAGGAATGGTAGAGCTACTGTAGGCCTTGGAGACCAGCCATCGTATTGAGGCACACAACTTGGCCTGCATCAGAAATGGTAAAAAACGAGGATGAGAAAAATTAAAAATCAAATACATACAATGTACATATACCGGTTCATAAAATGGCATACACAATGACGACACATGTACATGTATGCACATGTACTAGTTTTATTTTATTTTATTTTATTTTATTTCAGCCAAATCCAACAGCGCAAGCGCCAATAACAGGATGGATAAATGGAGAGAAGACAATGAGAAGAAGTTACAGTTTTAGAGGTGGGAGGAAAAGCCCTGAAGAATATTCTGGTGAAAACCCACGGAATCAGGCAGGGACTGAAAACCCAATCCACATATTGGCCCAGGCGGGATTCGAACCCAGGTCACAGCGGTGGAAGGCGAGGAAAGTACCGCTACGCCAAACTGACTGTAATCAATTAGCCAAATCAGAAAGCTACTCCAGCAAAAATTCTTGGTGCAAATTTAGCTTTCACCCTAAACTTTTTCACCCTATGACTTTTAAGCCTCCAGCCTTGTGCATAATTTTGATACCAAAAAAATAAAAATTCGACCACAGGTTGCCGTGCAGCGAAAATTTTTCCCATATTTACGTCGTGTACACAGAGCAGAATTACCATTTGTACATGTATATTGTATGAATAATTAATTAGCCATAATTCCAAAACCCTTTGAAATATAGTCATAAAATTTCTTGGGTATGTTCATGATGAGTTGCTCTACGCATGTACCGAGTTTCAAAAATGTTTGTCACTCGATGGTCGAGATCTGGGGGGGGGGGGGGGCGGAATCATTTGTACATTTATTTTTCTTCACCTTCTCCAGAAAACTCACCTTTTTAAAAAAAATATTCAAATTGGAGAAACACTATTCGGATATTCGATGGATGATCCAATATCCGAATATTCAGTTTATTCGGCACAGCCCTAATGCACAATTAACGTACAGTAATTCAAGAGACCACACGTACCGGTATATTTTGCTCCGATACAAAATTGTATACAAGCACCTGTTGAATTCTGCATGTACACATGTAAATTACGTGCAGCGTACAATATTGTGTACAATGTACAATGAAGAGTAGTTTAACCTTCCTCAATACAATCAATACAGCAACAATTGAATTTTCTCCAATTTGTCCACCGATCATCAACATTCCTAATGACCTTAGTAAAGACAATTAACCGTGCATCAAACGATTATTACAACATTAGGTGAAAGAGTGACCTTCGTGTATAAACGGACAGACTGGTTGCCATGGATACTGTCTGGAGTATGATGGAACTCATAAATTGACTAAATGAGACAAGCTAATTAAATGGAGAATACATGAAGATGTGTCGTACATTGTACATGTATATGTACATGTACATGTTCACGCAGTATTGTACATGTTCACGCAGTATTGTACATGTTTTGACACTAAAAATAGTAAAATAATGGTTTTCATCTATAGCTCAACCCAAACCTACCCAAATCCTCCAAATCTTCTTTGCAAAATAGAGCATTTTACAGGATTGAGGCTACATGCTTGTTTCAAAGAAGCACTTTGTCAAGGTCTTGGGTCGGACCTTGTGTTGCTTATGCTCAGCTGTGCATAAATTTAGGCCTATTACTTAACATCCTCCGCAATGCTCCAGGATGTCACTGGCTCTGCCTCAACATATTGACAATGATTACCAGAGGATTTTGCAGGACTGAGGCAGTGGTTACCCCACCAAGGACCACATTCAAGAAATAACAGAGGATTTTGCAGGATAAGGCTGTGTGCTATTTTTACATGGAGGCACTTTGAGGATTTTGCAGGATTGAGGTTACGTCCTAGCAAAAATACCAAGGAGTATGGATAGCTGTTACAATCCCAATTGAGAGAATTGCAATATCTGAAAAGGGTTATCCAAATATTTTATGTTTCTTTGTTCTTAATGCTAATTTCAGCAGGAATGTTATGCATATTTTATAAGGCAATACAAAATTGTACACATGTACAGTATGTACTGCATGATACAATGTAGTCCGACAACAGGACATGCAGGAGGTTAAATGTAAATTAAACTACATGTAAAATAGGCTGGTGCCACACTACCATAACTCATCTTGCACTCATATTCATCATATCTACACGGGGAACCAGACATTATACGGTCCAATGAGCAAATAACCAGCATCCAGATCCATCTTGAGATGAACTGGCTGCCATGACAACCGTCGTTATCGATGACAAACAAAAAATGCCAGCGGAGGCTCCACGCGTGGGCTGATCAAACTTGATTACAAATTATTCACGAGGGCAGACAAAATATCGAGTCTGAAAATATTTCATAACACTGACATTGCTTGGTTGGCATTTTCATTTTCCGACGACGTTGATTAATGTTCCACATGGAATGACTCGTCGTCATGGAAACTTTTTGTCTTCAATGGAATGCATGGTCAAATACATACATGTATACATGTGCAACATGCACTGTCTCCCAACAAAAATTCTTTGACTAAAATTGACATTGGCCTTTTCACAAAAATAACAGGAAATTTTGAGTTAAAACAGGGCTAATGTTAAAGGGGAATATGTGCTCGGCTTGTTTTAACAAACTTAATTTACAAGCGGCTCAGAGCCTGGATGCAGATAATGGCACGAGCCGAAGGCAAAGGTCATTATCTGTGTGCAGGCCCCTCTCCAAAGAAAGGTTTGCATGCCATTTGTGGGGAATTTTCAAAATGAAAACCGGGCTACATGGAAAACCAAAACTGACTTCACGTTTACATACATGTGTGTTTTACATGTAAATTTATGAAATTTCAGAACTACAAGCACCACAACCTCAAATGAGATGCTCATTCTCAAATGAAAAGGGACAACAAGACATTTCATTTGAGTGTCGTGCCAGTGAGAATGTTATGCCAGTGGTTAAATGTATTTTTTGGTTAAAAAAACCCAACTGGTTTGGGGGCAAAAATTATAGGTTTTAGGCAGTAATTTTGGCAGGTCTTGTTTTCACATGCAAAATGCAAGTGTCTACCGGTATTTTGAGTTTTTGTTTTTAAGGCAAAGAGAAAGGGTTATACACCATGATTTACATGTAGTATGTTTTTTATCACAAGTGTGAAGTTGATTTCAGACAAGTAACGTTTGTAACATTATAATGTAACCTCCAGAACAACAAAAGCATGATATTTCCATGACATCAAAGTTCCACAATTATTCTCTACCAACAGAACTACAGCAGGAATGAAAACAAACTGTTGTTTGCACTTTGCCTACTTTGCTACAAACAGCTACAAGATTAAAGCTTGAATTGGAGTCAGCTTTCCATTGCTGGACCAACTTTTGGACCTTTTATTCAGGCCCCTTGGTAGTCTATTTTTGTTGCCGAGGATTAGTGCAGAGGATAGGCCTACTGTCGTGCCTGTACAAGGTCCACTGGCCATAGAATGAACCGAATGCAGGATACACATCAATAGTACAAGTATACTAAAGCAAAGGTTACTGACTCTTTTAACTGGCCCTTGGGTTAATTGTGGACCATTGTACATACACGTTATGTAGTACTGCAAATAAGTATGGTGCATGTGTAGTACATGTACAACGTGTCCCGAAATACCTGTAACTTTTTTTTGCAAGGCTCTAGCATCAGCGCGGAAACACGTACCGCCATTATTTTTATACCATTTTAAAGCTTGGAATCTTTACTTTATCCCTGGCGAGTATTGCTTTGATATTAAAAAAGAGTTTTTTAAATTATTTGTGTTCAAATGAAGGCATGTCGAAAACAAACTCAACCGATTTCAGGGAAAATCGATGATGCGGTACATCAGATGCAAACTCAAGTCAACAAACTGTTGAAATAACAACAACAAAATACTGTAGTTGATTTATATTATAAACACATTGAACTTGAAACGAAGAACACTATTGTGAATTTATTTAAGGTGTAGTCTACGTGGATTGAAAAAAGAAAAGAAAGTAAAAGGCAACGACATCGTCACAACATGAACATGATGAAGCATTTCATGCATTTTGGCGGATTCAGGATACTTTCTAGTAAGGCCAAAAAAAAAAAGTCTCCGGTTTCTGGTATGGAGCTTGCCCAAAAAGTGGTGCGGCGACGCGGCTTTTTTTTTTTTTTACCTGATTTTTTGCTTCAAATGTCGGCTGATGACTGCAAATGGTGCCCGACTAAACTTAGTGCAAATATATGGGAGTCCAGAGAGGCCACATAAAGCTTATTCTCAACCATAACCCCATCTATAAACACGTTAAAATTGTGCAGCAGCAGGATTCCAGTCAAACCAGTGAGTTTGGCGGTTTGAGACATCATCTTTCATTGAAAAAAAAACTTTTTAATTTTGCCGACGCGCATGGCTATGGCGACGCGCGCGCATACCAGAAACCGGAGACTTTTTTTTTTTGGCCTAAAAGTGCTCTTTTTTAAAGGGGTTAGGAAATTGCATGCGGCACCTTACTTCTCACTTTTTGTTGGCATGATTGTGAGCTGAATGGGAAGTTTTGGTGAAATCGGAGAACCGTTATTCGGTTTAAAAAAAAGTAGGATTTAAACCAGATTTTGAAATTTCATATTTTTTCCACCACTATTTTGGGACCAGCTGTACCACTAGGCTTGCCTCATATGGGCTCCGTGCACCAACAAAGAGGGCGCATTTTTACCTCTCTTGAGAGCTCCGTGGACGGGACACACAGCGTGTGAGTACTGTACTGTACTGGTTCGCGCGCGAAGTACGCACGACTTCCTGAATGTGCCAAAGCTACATCCACAGCGTCTTCGTGTGCGCGTCAGGCGTCGTCGGCACGTGAATACATTCGAATTTAACTTGCGATGGTCTGCCAGACTAATCCCCGCCCCAATAACTTTGGATCATTCAAAATACGCAGTGGATGGAGCGGGAACCAGTCTAGGTCTCCCCCAACTCTCCTTTTCTGGCCGTTGAAGGGGTACTTGTGCACGGAGCCCATTTCTGTCTTGGTTTAAATTCACCCTCCAATTTAAAAGATTTTGGAATCGATC